TGCCAAGGCTGGAAAGGCTGCCTGCCGCGATCTATGAGCGACGGCGGCAAACAGTGTTGTGTCGACCACAGGTGTTGACATTTGTTTAATACCGGACATGATTCTGGGGAAACTAGCCCTTAACAGCTCTGCTGTAAGAAACTCCTTTCATGCAAGGCTTGTCAAAATATTAGGTGCTGGAAAATATTGGCCATACACATTCAGTCCTTTTTATGTCCTGCAGCCACATTGAAAAGCACTGCAAACAAGTACAATCATGCTCCTGATCTCGTCACAACTGTCTCTCCTCCTGTACAATAAATTCTGCATGCTATGGTCACCAAATGTCAATAGATGCATATGCCAATGCAGCAACTGAAGTCAGCTACAGCCACATCATCTTCCTAATGCCAAATTCCTACCAATGCAACAGTAGCTTGGGCTCGAGCTAGGCAGTCCCCCCTGCAAATGGCTTTATGTTATCCCTTCAATTTATTTCTAAAATTCTATAGACCTTTTCGCCCTCCGTCGCATGGGTGCTGCGATCTTGAAATCGCGTGACGCAGCGGTCATTAGGTGGCTTCAAATTGTCACTCGTTTCTCCCCTTCAAGTTCTATTCGTTTTTTCGTCGCATTTTACTGCAATTTTACAGTGAAGCTGTATATGACTCCGTTGGTCAGGTTTTTTTTCCGTCTGTTAACAGAACAGTAGTGGACAGAAAAGCATTGTGCGGCGCACCTTGTCTTCTATCGCATAGTTTTGACACTTGTAGTTTTCAACAAGAAAACCACAAGTGTCAAAACCACAAGATAGATGACAAGCCATGCACAAACAATGTGAAGTACATAGCTCCCCGCATGCGTCTCGGTAAAAATTGCGGTTGCGTAAGCTGCCGTGGCAACGGCAACGTACAGCCGTTTATCTAGACCCTTTTGCTGTTTACAAACATGAACTGCCGCTTGTGTCCCAAGTGACTTCCGGTCGCTCAGTCTTTGCAAGCCTGTTGAGCTTGTTCATGTCACCAGTGCTAGAAAGCATAATCTCCAACATACATCAAAGTTGGAGATATAATGAGGGCATTTGCCTGTACAATTTAATGTCTTGGAGGAGGCAAGTTGGTGTACAAAATATTTGAAACATTTTAACATATCTGCCGTTTCTTCATTCTTTTGGCGCTCACCTGGAGAATTGGTGGTTACACGTTTTATCGACATTTTAGGCAGCAGTGTCAAAGTGGGTTTTGTTCATTCTTGTTATGAATCAGAAGTTTGCTGAGACATCAAACAAACTGAAGCACCGCCTGGTGGCGCTTGCAAAGAAAGGGGTCTATATAAAAGAAGTTTGGGTACACTGCGTTTCGACTGTAAAACGTGGTCCGCAGGTAACGTGCACTGTCATAAAAGAAATACCAACAATTTACTTATATGAAAGACACGAGGGAATGGGGCACAAGACTTGATCCATCAAGAGGCGCTGGGCCTAAAGAGAACTTCCATCTTGCAAGGCTTGATCCACGATTCAGGGTGGTTTGAAACCTATGGTGTATATGCAGAGAACGAAAGTGCCTATTAGGTAAACAGAAACAGTACCTTACCCGAACATGTAGGGCAACGCACAGTAGTCGGGTGCAATAAACTCGCACTTGAGCAAATGTCGGTTTAACAAGTATTTCAGAATAACAAACTTTCAAAAATCTATGGTGGTTTTCCTTTGCATTCTATGCAAAAATGTTTGCTCTACGAAAAACGAATTTCGGAATAGCGAATATTTCAGTTCAACGAACTTGATCGGTGGACCCAGGATTACTGTTGTGATCAGTTCAACAAAGTTTTGTGCTCTGCAGTGCTGGCGTAGCTGATGGCCGCCGCCGCCTTTGCAGCAGCGGTGCGGTAGACAAAAACGAACCATGCGGTGCATATTTTCTTTTCTTTATTATTGGTTCCTTTCGGCCATCTTAGTTTTGGGTAACAACGGCAGCTTGTGCGCCCACTTACGTAATAAGTATAACGAAATGGAAGCGGTTGTCTCTCAGACAAATTGAAATACTTTCAGCATCTGGGCAACGGTCAAAGGCAAGTGAATGTTGCGAAGGACTATCGGATGCTACCGTCGACGTTGTCAACGTTAGTGAAGCAAAAGTCGAAGCTTGAAAGAGAAACTGCGTTCAATCCCAACAGGGAACGGCTCTGCACTGAATATTTCAAGCCAGTGGACAGTGCCGTTGCGGTATGACTTCCTCACAGCAACTAGCTGTGCCAGAGGATATGCAAAAAAAAAAAGATACTCTCTGGGCAACTTTGTTACTTCATGCGCTTTCAGAGCGCCGGTGCAAATGAAAATTATTGACTATTTTCAAAATGAGAAAGGCAGCAGCGTAACTGCAATACACTTTGTATATATCAATGTACATGACTCCATAAATTGCATTTCACCCTTTTGACTCAATGTATGCTGTGCCCTATGCTGTTCCATAATCCAGTGAATATATTCAGTTTAGTGGACTCCTAGTTAAGGGAACTATTTCTTTGAGTCCCTAGAAGTTTGCCCAAGTGGGAGTTTACTGTATAGAGTTCTAGAACTTAAACGATACTGGCTATTGAAGAATATAACAGGCAGCAAAACATTCACCACAACAGAGATCTTGAAACATGCATTGGTAGTCCAGCAAGTTATGTTTCAAAACAAATTTGTGCGCACTAACAAGAAAATTGCCCTTTTACCACACTATTGAGGCAAAGGCACTGGTAAGGCCTCATTCATACAAAAATTGATCACTAACCCGTAAGAATGTCCAGCAATAGGTTTCGTGGCACTTTAGATTCCGATCGTTGTATACACTTCTGATTTTATCCCTTATGGGAGGGGTGAGGATGAGAGCTTTCTCAAACAAAATATAATGGTGCAAGGTAACTAGTGTAGGTAAATGTTAAAGGGGTCATGAATCGATTCTTCAACTTCCTTCTTAGCTTTCCTCAACTTACAAATTGTGCAGTGTTACCAAAGGTACAGGGGCATAAGTATACCTCTAGCAGTTCAAGAGGAGGAAAAGGAGGAACTCCCCTCTTGCTCATGGCGCTTGGATCCTCATTTTTGTACTCGCACGTCACCATTCTCCCCCTAGGAAATTGGCCCTTGATGCTCGTCGCTCAACATTCAGACAAAAGTTGCTAATCCCCCCCCTCCCCAGCCTGTGGCTTCCACAGTACTATGCACAACTAGCATATAAACCGGAATATAGGTCGAATTTATTCTTGAAATTGGACCTGAAAACGTCGACCCTCGTCTTATATGACGGTCATTAGCGGAAAAACAAAAATAATCTCGCAACACTCAGTGCCTGAAGACGCCGTTTTGTTTTATATTGCAATGGCCTAGCACTCGTCCACTTGTCACGATGGTCACGATTAACTTTTACTTGTGCTCCTTGGTTTGTTACATCTACCGCAGCAATAATGAGCGGAAGTAGAAGACAGTTCACAGTAGCCTTTTAGAACAAGGCAATCGCCTATGCAGAGATCCACCGGAATCTTGCAGCGCAGCGAGAGTTCAGTGTATCGGAGAAAAGCATATGCTACTGGCAAAACCAGAGACAAAAACCGGCGGCATGCAGCAAGGCGAGGAAAACTTAATTTCGTGGAAGGACTGCAGTGTACCCCGAATTGGAAACAAAGGCGGCAAACTTTATTCGGGATCTGTGCGCCAGATCGATACCTGTGATGTCGGAGAGCATCCATATAAAAGGCGTTGAGGTTGCTCGTGCCTCCGAGCTTTCGAGGGCGCAATTCAAAGGGACGGCATCGTCCCTTTAAATTGTGTTAGTGAACTCGTCGTCGGACGAAGGCTCTGAGGAATCTGAGTAGTAACACTCGCATACTTCCTGTTTTATTGAGTGCAAAACAATTAAATAAATCTGCCGTGTTTTCTCGTCCTTTCATATACTTGGACAATTTTGTCACCAAGGTAAGGTTGCATTTTCTTGCCATAAAAACTTCTTTTGCATCTTGCAACTTGTAAATTAAGGGGTCGACCTATATTCCAGTTTATACAGTATCTTCCGTGCACCCCTAAGCCGACAGTGCTGTGGAAACTATGTGCTCGTTGGGCCGGTCACACTTGTATCTTCAGCCACATGATCACGCTCCCTTGCACATACCCACATATGCAGAATGGGGTCAGGTGATGATGGACAGGAGGGCGGGCGAGGTTTGTCAACTGAAGTCCCAATTTTCAACCCCGCAAGGATGGTGAGAGATCTCACGGTAGCTGATGTTGGTTCTGAACCTTACTTTATCCCATTGATGTATTTCAATGTCTGTGTGGCAACAAGCTGAAAGAAAACTTGAAAATGAAGCACAGGTTGTCGATTGCTTGCTTCACAGAATAAATAGCCCAGCTCGCGTCCGATTTTGCTGCCCGTGGGACGCAGTTTCTTAGCAGAAAATCCCCTTTTTTTCGGTTCTCGTTCCTTATGGCGGAAAAACCCCAGTCGTCTGCTCTTGTTCCTCTCCCGAGTGATGCATGACGGGAGTGCATTCTGGTGCACACTTGATTCTCAAGGTGCAGCGAGTGCATAGACGTGTGGAGTGGCGACGCCGAAATGAACGCGTGGAGTGTCGGCCGAAACAAACATGCTCCATGTTGCGAGTGGGTACGCAAGGGCACGAGTGCCCATGCATACATGTAGTCATACACTGTGCACGAGCATGTGGCTTCGACTTTTATATTGTTTGCGTGCAGAAGTGGCTTCAACGGCATTGCAGAAATTACACTAGCCTTGACAATGAAGTACAAAAAGGTTTACGCCAAGTCTAGACACTGTTGCAAGATCACCGAGCCAGGAAACCTAAACCGAGCCACCACTAAATGTGTTCCGTTTCAAAATGGTGTAATTGACAAGACTGAACCGCCACCAAATGTGCTCTGCGGTAGAGCACAAAAGTACATCACCAGACATGAGTGTCCAAAATGTACTTACAATGGCTAGCGGCGCCTCATAAAAGTCATGCAATGACCCTCTGCTTGGCCACTTAAGCCACACGCAGTGCCGTGCAGGGTACAGGACGGCATCCATGGTGCAGTGATCCAGGGTCCCGCCCGTAGTGTTCCGCTGCTGCCTTGGACAAGGTGAAAGCCAGCTCACTGATGTCATGGTCCCCGGTACCTGTGGTGTGTAACCATTGTGTTTAAAGGTTATACAGCCACCGACCGATATTGCAGACCCGATGGGGATCGTGCAGAATTCCGAATAATTGAGCAGTATGAAAAAATGATTTTAGCCTAAAAATCACTTTATTATTACGACTTAAAACGCAAAGTTGCTGCAGCAAGTGATCGATGGTTTGCTGTACGGCATGGTACTGTATGGTACTTCGCATTTCAGCGAGTCATTTTGTCACTGTATACAGACGAAAGCATTCGGACAAGTTACGCGCTCACGGCTGCACAATGCTCGCCAACTGTAGGGCCAGTCGGTAGACTTTCCCCTCGGTGAAGGGCAAAGTCCGGTTTGTAAACGCTGTGCCGCTGGAATAAATGCGCAGATTGATCGCTACTTCTTTGGCGATACAATCGCTGCCTTCTCACGTCGACACACGGGAAATACCGCAAACAAAAGCAGACGCCGTCATGACTTTACAAAGTAAAACCGGAGAGGCCAAGAGCAGAAGAATTGCTTAGAGTGCTGACGTGCTACGAGGCATCAGCAACCAAAACCTGCCATTTAAAAAAAATATATACTAGTTTCTTAGCAGGACGTGACGTCACGACAACTGACAGCAGTGATTGGCAGGCGGTATGCATTTCTTGCCACTGAATTCATAACCTGTCACCGAATGTAGTTTTTAAACATGGCAGATATAATCTGGCCTGTTTTCGTCCACAATGCTGCCGCCTAGTCTGTCGCATAAATTATTTTTGTTGCTAAGGGGCAATTGGGGCTTTACGTAAACATAGGCTGGACGTGCGTGTGGGTAAAATAACACGAATGACGGCCCCCAACATTGGCTCTTCAAACAAACTGCCAGAAAACAAAAAGGCCAATATGTCAACATTTTTGTCCTTTCCCCATTTTTGGTGGCTGTCGTGTCAGATTGAAGTATAAGTAACTAGTAAAATAAAAATAAATAAAGTACATAACAAAAGGTGTAAATAAACTCTGTAGATATAATACCAGTCCCAATGGTTTAACAAAGAGGCTGGCTTTCTCAGAATGCCCCCCTCTCACTCGAGTCCGTATTGAATCTTAATATGAAGTTGCCCCGAAAAAGCTGCAGAAAATGCACATAGTGACAGAGCCCATAAAGACCACACCTGCCTTTCACATGGCCTTTCGAACTAGATGCAGTACAGGACGCAGAACGGTACCCATGGGCTAGCTGCAGCTGTAGCCCACTGCTTGTAGTATCTCGCAGCTGATGGAAGGGAGGGAGGCCAGCTCCTTCATGCCGTGGTACCGGGAAAAACAATACAGATGAGCCACAGACGTCAAGCGCCTTGAGTATTTCTGTGCATCCACGAAGCCAACCTGGGACAGCAACGACAGAAAACTTCAGTAACACAGTGAACAAAAGAGTAGGCATGCAGGCGAGCTGTGAATTCTGAACACAGCTAAAACCCAAGGCACAAGAAAGCAGAAAGGAAGAGGCCTTTCCACTTCCTTGCATGTCGGGTTTGAGTCTCGCACGGGGTAGCAAAAAAGCAACAATACTGGCTCCCTAGTCTTTTTCTGCGTCAAGAAGCCTTGGAACAAAGAAATCCTACTGGTTATTCATCTTGTTTTCTCTTCTCGGGCGGATTATAGTGCACGGTGCGGAAGCAAACTGCCTCGAAAGGGCTCAACTCACACTTCCAAGAAAATGATTGGCGAGCAACCTCTCCATTGTGTGCTATGTGCACTGTACGTTTTAAGCAGGTCTGTTTTCTGCTAACACAACAGCGGTAGGAATGTTACTTGTGTCGAGCTGGAGAAGCCATAGTGGGGGCTACCCCAGCTACGCCCACGCTGGCTCTAATGGCGGTTATGTGCAACGCAGACAGCTTTCCCCATTTCAACCGAGTGCCTAGGCAGACGCAGAAGCAGCCACATAAGACGATCGAGGGAAGACGCAGAGTTGTACAGGCGAAGAGGGAACGACATAGTGTAGCGAGCTTTTTAGTCCAGGCTATTCCTCCGAGAAATGCAGTCGGTGGAAATGTATGTCGGTTGTTCTTGCCATTAATTTAGGTAACGAATGCAAACATTATACTATTTTGCATCTTTTTCTACTGCAATGCTGGTCACCCGCAACGAAAAAACGCCACAAACTGAAAGAAAGTCTGGTTGCAATGTTAACACGGACACCAAGTCCACCAGGAAAAGCCATCTGTGCCATCCACCTGTTCATAAGCGAGCTGGAGTTTATCAAAGCACGACCGAGACTCTCTCGGGAGTATTTGGTTCCTTGTCACTAGTCATTGAATGAAAACACAGTGCAGTGTTGATTACTGTCAGCGCAGCCTTGCCACTAGCACTGCTGTCACTCGGGTGGCACATATTTCGCTGGCACGACATGGCCTGCGAGCCACATATATCCCTAAAAGGAAGCTGCATAGAATGCACTTACCGTGGCTAGCGTCACCGCCCAGAGAGCTTGCACAAAACCTCCGCATGACACGCAGTGCAGTTCAGAACAGAGCAGCACTGGCTAGCCAGTTGCTGCGAAGGCTTGCAGTGCCTTGCTGCTGCAAGTCACCTCCTTCATGCCTTGTGGTACCCATCAGTTTCAAAACAAACGCTGATGAACCACGACCAGCCATCACCTGTAGCACAAGGGGAAAAACATATGAATGTGCAGTCTCCTATCTGTTTGCTTTTGTCTAACGTCTCTGAGTTTTCTTTGAGAAGAAAACAGCAATGACACTTTTTTCACAGTAATGTGCAAAAGAAACAAAAACGGCTCGGTTATTATACTGCCTCGTAAGTTGTGTGCAGCAAAGGCACGGGTGCGAGGGCACAGCTCTGCAGAATGTCCTTTTGCGCGGGTACTCGTGCAAAAAAGGCGCTTTTTACTGTCATGTGCTCGGGCCTGCGCCTCTGCTGCACACAACTTATGATACAGAGTGTATAGCACGCCTCCGTGAGCACTCGCGTACGGCGAGAAATCCATGATATCCAGGGTACGATAGCAGGAAACCTCGCAAGGGTGCACGAGGCTGCAAGTGCGCCAGAATGTGCAACTGGAGGTGGTGACAGAATGACATAGTTTGAGAACATGAGCTTACTTGGGTCAAAATATAGAAGCGAAAAACGCAACTTCCTTGCCGGCTGATGTTTGGAGCCATCGGAGCACGATCAACTATTTGTTGTGATCGGGGGGTATTACGATCGGACGCGGGTTGGTAAAGATTTGAAAAACCCGGAAGAATAAAACCTGTTGGGGGCGAAGACAGACAGCGCAGTTCCTTGTTGACATGGGATGTAATATCAAACACATTATTCCGCCGGATCAAACGTTTTTGTTTAATCAGGCTTAGCTCGGAAGTCTGCCGGCAGGTCTGGGATGCGGTTTTTAGAGCTCTTTTGGCGGGCTTTCAGGTTTCTGCGATGCGTGTTTTCATCGTGAGCACAGGCTCAAACAATAGGCAGCGGCGCCAAATGTATTTGAAACGAAGAAGCAGCTCGGACACGTGGAACGAACACATCGAAATCACATCACAGGAAAACGCAAATCACTCACCTTTTGTTCGACGATGGTTCGCAAGACACGATTCAAATCGACGACACTCGATTCGGTCACGATATTCAGGTAAAGGACGCAACAACGTAGGCCTTGCCGTTCCTAATAACTACATAAATACGACGATACGACACGATATCAAACAAAGGAGTCGGAAAAACGCAATCTGAAGCGCAGAAACGCGGTCCCGCGGTTGCAAAAAGCAAGAAAATAAACAAAATAAAAAAAAAATAATACGTCAACAAAGTAAAAATAAGAAAAAGTTTCCTCGCTAAAAACCGTGACGTCACAGAAAACAAAACAAACAAAAACAAGCAAAACAAAATTTTTTGTCACGTGACGTTATATTTGTGACGTCACTTCCGGTGACGTCGGGTCACGTGACCTGCCATTATTCCTCCTCCGAATCGCTCGTCCCGGAGTTACGTGCACCGGAAGTGACTTTTGGCCGTCCAGTGGAAGGAGTCAGTGACTCCTTGACTCCGGGGCCGCTACTGAACGCGCCCAATCGTTTTCATGACGCCATAATTCCGTGGACCAATTCGCAATCCTTTTGAAAGGGGGAAAAAAAAGAAAAAAAAAAAAAAAGCTCAACATGGTTGCTGGCCTTAGCAACGCGTCGCTAGTTTCTCGTGACAATTATTCTGCTTTTTTGCACAGTGTTTCCGGGTTCTCCAGGCACCATAGCTCAACCCGGAAACGTAAAACAAAGTAATAACAAAAGGGCGGGAAGTCTGGAAAGGAGGAGAGGAACCTCTTCTCCTCTACCTTTCTCCACCCCTCGCCCTCCTCTCCCCTCCCGCCTTTCTCTCTTCGCCTGGCGTTGCCTTCGCCTGCACTGCACCTCCAGACTGGTTGATAAGCTTTGAAAGTTACAGATAAGCCGCGTTTAGGGTTGATAGCACAGAATGACTTGCAGAATAGGAGAAGCAAACGCAATCGCGGTTGCCGTTGTGAAACAATGATGGAGCACTATATTCCTGCTGTGTAAAAATGATAATAATCACTTTATAAATTATAGGCACACACACACACAGGGGTGACAATGTCATTCTCCTATTTACCTAATTTTCTTCCTCTGCCCCTTAAAGTTGCTACTTTTGTATGCTCACACTTGATAAGCGAGATTATGCAGAGCGCAAGATCGCCTGCTTTTTTTGCAGGGGTTGTGGTGACTTCAGAACGCAGAGCTCTGATCGAAGTATAATGGGTAGACCTCAAGGCAGCTTGCTTTGAGGTCTACCCACTATTTTTCAGTCAGAGCCAATCAGGGTTCAGCGTTCTGACGTCAACACAAACCCAGCAAAAGAAGCAGACGAACTTGCGCTCCGCATAGGTTCGAGAAATGTGGGGAACTATGAAAACAAGAAAAAGGCTGAGAAAAAAATGCAGTTTTATTTCATGTAATGCATATGCTTTAGATTTCGTATAAAAATAAATTAAAGGGGCAGTGTCAACAGAGGCTGACAAAGAACAACACAGAAAACACGGGTGCGCGCCATACGTTCCCACCCCATCCCTCGACCTTTACATTAGTTTTAGTAGATTGTTCTGATACTTCCGATATTGATATGATCCCTCTGCAAAGGCGGCGGCGGGGTATCGTAATCGGAGTCATTGGAACAATATACTTTTGAAACTGCTGCCAGCTGCAGTGAGGAAAAACAGAACTGCATCACACAAAACCCACACTACGTAAAAGTTTGTACTTCATCAAGCATCACCTTAAAATAAAAAAAAAAATTAAAACACAAATGGCAAGGAAAGATTGTCTGCTAGGTGCAGCATGGAATCGTAAAAAGGAAAAGGCTCCTAAGAGGAACAGGAAAGGCACAATCCAGGATTAATATCTTAAATTCAATGCAACATATGTTTCAGACCCTCAGATTAATTTTATTAGGGAATGTATAGCTTCTACACACCACCCAAGAAACTAAGGCAGCAATGCAATGCACGCAAGATGCGAGATTCAAACTCGATAATTCTATTTTGTTTTAACAACCAACATAGAGCAAAGGGTGTGTGTATGTATGTAAAGATGTGCAAGGTGCAGTCAATGCAGCCCTAAGTCTCCAATTAGCGAAATGCTGTTAAGGTACACACGTGCTTTTCGCATCCCCAATGTCCTCCCTGCCACTTGCATCTGATATGAAGAGGCAAAATACTTCTATCGAATAAGTCTACATTACATGGTACACTAAAAGGATTTCTATTGCATAGGCAACAATAAACAAAACTATTAGAAAAAAAAGGTTCAGTAAGCTCGTTAACAAGCGGTTCTTTGGCATAATGACACTGTCTTCACAAAAAAAAAAAAGGCAAAAGGTAAAATAAACGTATGTGGCAGCTGTAAAAAGCTTTGCAAAACATCAGTTTTCTTTCTTTTTTTTTTTAAGAAAAGTAAATTTCTGGAGAGAAAAATGACACTGACAGTGTTTCAATGAAAGAAGAATTAAGGTTCCTTGCGTGTTAGTTTCTGAACTGTATGAAAATCCATTTTGGCCTCGAGGAAAACAAAAAAGCTGCCCCTTGATTACAAAACAAAGAAAATATACTTAACTCTTTGGAAACACATTCATAGCCTTTGTTGAAAGGCAAGTCAAACACACCAACACTAAAACAAAAATAGCCAACACCCGTCCATTTGCAAAAACCCTTCTGAAAGGGTTTCTCGCCCTTGACGCAAGATTCACAACACTCTTAACTGTACAAAATAATTGCACAGAGCTGCCTGCCACCCCGACCAGAGACCGCCGCCTCCCCCTCAATTTAAAAAAAGCCACTTTAACTTACACAAGAAAACACCACTTCCTGAGGTCACCACATTCGGAAGCCTGCAAATTACGATAAGAAAGAAAAAAAAAGAATAACAATTTATTTGCTAGAAAGATTGGCCCGTCACATTTGGCCTCTTTACACAATCTAGAGCTGCAAAAGCAAGCTGCCAGCTTTGGTGAAGGTCTCGCCGTGCACGCATTCCTGCTGCGAGAGCTACGCTCGGCGTCGACTATTTCGTGCTTCGTTGTCTGGACCGACATAGCTTGCACAGCACTCCAATGCTGTCAATGCTAACTGCGTGAGAGCATGGCTGCGTTCAGCATTGCCTTTGCACGAGAGCATATGCGAATGAGACGCCAAATGAGGCTACATGTTCTCGCAGCAATCTCTGACTTACACAAACCCCTGCCCAGGCTGAGTCTAGCACTGCCAGAATTCCATACGCAAAGTACACAAACCTATAGTATGCTGAGAGAAAGTCGTCTCCTTCTTGTGCAGGAGTTGCTGTGATGTCAGGGCGCCGCCGAGCACCAAATAGCTTTGATTGAAAGGATAGTGGGTAGACCTCAATGCTAGATGCCTTGAGGTGTACCCACTATTTATTCAATCGGTCAATAAAAGCTCGGCGTTCTGACATCGTTGCAAACCCCGTGCTAGAAGCACACGAACATGCGCTCCCCATACCTTCCTTCCTCCCCTGGGGGCCTCTTTCAGAAATATATGACACCCCACCATGACTGACAATCCTGGATAGGCCCCTGGCAGCGGAGCAGCACCATAAAAGCACTACGCTAGTCCTGACCACACAGCACAAAATCGTCGACGCTGAGCATGTATACGCTCGCCCTCAGAATCGAGAAAAACGTAAATGGAGTGCACATCCGTAGACAGGCTGTGCCATCGAAAGAATAAAAAGATGGAGGAAAAAAAGAAAACACAATCAGGTGGTTCCCCCCCTTCCCCCCCACTTGTATGGTTTTCTCTAGACAAGACCATTTATATATCCTATACTTTGTCCCCCCCCCCCCCCCCCCCCCCAAAAAAAAAAAAAAAAAGTAGAAAAGAAGTGGTTCCAGAGGCTGAGCTGCCTAGTCTAGCTTCATTCCTTCCTTTTAAGAGCGAGAGAGTCTTTTGGAAGAGCCTACGTCGCCGCCGGGGCTGCCACTCCGTCGTTGAGGAGCACGTCTGCAATGTCCAGCCCGCTCCTCCAGGGGGACACCTTGGCCTTGACCCGACCGGGGTCCTTGTTCAACAGCTTGGCCAGCGGGTAGTCGAGGCGGGGAAACACCAGGTCGGAGGTGCGCAGCCGCAGGCACGGGCAGAGGTCGTTGTTGCCGTCCCCCACGTACGAGACGTGGTCGAAGTCGACCCCCTGGCGCCGCCGCCGGTCCAGGAACTCCTCCATAATGGCGCCCTTGCAAAGGTTGACCGAGCTGAGCTGGCACCAGTTCTGCGAGTGGTACTCGCTGATCTGCAGGCAGCCATTGGCATCGAAGTGGGCAAAGTTGGTGAAGATCTCGTGCACTAGTGGACGTACCCCGGACGCCTGTTGGGGTGAAGAACAAGGTGATGAACTGCCATGAGCCTGCTTCTGTATCCCCAAAGCTGTTTCCTGAATCAAAATGCTTTTTGGTTAAGCCAGCCTCGGGCCGACATAAAAAAAAAAATTCGAGGGCTCCAAAGCACTTCTTATGAGTTGTGAGTGCAAAAGCATGAATGTCCGATTGAACGCCATGGAGTGTTCCGCGGAATTTCGCGGCGGCCGCCGATGTAGATGCTTGAGGCGGCACCATGTTCGTCGGCGCCCAGAAGAGCAGAATCGGCTGAGCGCGCGTCACCATGTTCCTCTTACCGGCGCGGGGGCCTGCAGCGCCATGGAGTGGCATTCCTTGAAACTAGGGCACACGCGCCAGGCAAGGGGAGTGTATTCTCCGTTTCGCTGCTCCAGACTACAGGCTTCGCTCCATGGGACAGGGGACTTCAAGTACCGTTTGGCGTGGCTTCAAGAGCTGATAACGCCGGTTCGCTCTATGGGACCCAGTTAATGCTTTCGCATTAAAACAACAATCAGGCTCAGTGCACGGTTTAAGTCATACATGTAATAATCAATAATTTAATTGAAAACAATAATAACAAGGCCAGGTAGAGTTGGGCCCCAAAATTTCGGCTCGAGCAAGTCTCTAGGATATATATGAAACCTACCTTTTTGGCCCGATTTGCTATTTTTTCAGAAACACTGGAAGATAGCCCACTTCCAGTTATTGCAAGGCCCTGGCCAATGCTGACCTCGGCAAAAACGGTGTTACTCGACCACGGCAGGAGATAAGTGAACATTGCTGACTGGGAAGGACATAGTCTTTGGATTCATGGTTTTGCGCAAAAAAGACGGACACAAGAGAGAGAAACAAACACGAGCGCAAACACAAAAAGAAGGGCCCACTGTAGAAGAAATGTACTGTAAAATAGTTTGTTGTTGGGTGAGTTGGTGAACGTTTGGATTCTCTCTCTTGTGTCCGTCTTTTTTGCGCAAAACCATGAATCCAAACATTCACCAACTCGCCCAACAACAAACTATTTTACAGTAGTCTTTGGTTCATCGCCCCTTCCTGCGATCACAAGTTTCGAGGGTCACAAAATTTAAAACTAGTGCCTTTTCAACTTTTTTTTATGGAACAACCAAAAGTTAGCTTACCCATTATTTTCATCCGATTTGCTATTGATTATACGTGGGCTATCCCACGGGATACTATGGTAGCTATAAACAATGGATGCCAGAAATTGGCAAAAAATTGCACTCGTTATTTAGATGCTTATTAAATTGACTGCTGTCTGCCCATTAAAGTGGGCAAGCAAGAAACCTTTTTTAATCATAAGTTCTATGACAAAACCTAGGCAGTTTCAAAGGCTCCTGGGGTGGATATTTAGTACCGAATCTCCGCTCGTTAGGCTGACATCGATGACAGAGGACCAGTTACGCCATCTGCCAAGGTATGTGAGCGGTCAGGCTCAACTTTCGTCACAATTATTTCACGATTTTGTGAAGGCTTACCAAATTTATGGATTGTGCTCATTTTTAAAGTGATAGCTTTACGGGCGACACTTTGCAGAGATTTCGAGCTCGTGGGCTATCATCGCCGCTATAGAAAAACCCTTCTTCTCTCCCCTCTTGGCACGAGGAGAGGGAAGTTGGGACTTCACGTCGGCCGCGCGGCGCGAAGAGAGCGAAGGGGCAGCCCTGACGTCCCGCCAAGAATGGTGCGACGAAGGGAGAATCTTCCTGTGGTCTGCTCGAAACAGTTGATTTCAAACATTCCTTGCATTACGCGAAATCCAACTTTAGCGATATCTAGCTGCTATGTGTAATGTTGCACGGTTTTAGAAACTTCACGGATCACTATGAAAATTAACCACGTTGCACCTCTGTCGTCAAGAAACATGATTGCACCATTACACTTGCATTGCGCAACCGGGCTACAGTTATCGCTTTCGTTTCTTCGCACATTTTGGGCTAAAAATATTTGCTAAGTGGTTAGTTTTTATTGCTTGCTAATTCTTTTAATGCTAAATGCATACCATTGTAAGCTTCTTTGTAGAACCAACTGCAGAAGGTCTGCACGAGTATATTATCAAGGCTGCAGGCCATCAATCAGGCTCAGGCCTTAGGGTTAACATTGCCATGACACTGGGCATTCTTCAAAATCTGCGGCTGTGGCACATGTCGCATTGCACAGAAAGCATAGAAGATATTTACACCGTCTATTTCATACAATAACTATTTTCTCAACGCCCACGTAATTTAGAGTGAAGTACCTGTGTTCATTATAAAAATGAGCTACAATATCTTCAAGTAAAAAAAAAAAAAAGCCAACTGTGCTTTTGCATTCACACTGGTTCAGTTACATGTGTCAGTTCGGTTAGTCGCTCCGATTACGCAAATTAATGATGATCAAATTGTGCAGGCACATCAGTGTGGCCCAGAAGGGCAACAACATGATACCGTTTGGGCAAAAATGAAGCCGGCCTGAATGAACAAGTGTAAAATAGTCCCCTAACAGGGAGAGGCAGGCCGGAATAGCCCAAAACTGATGTCAGTATACTGAAGGTCTTGGGCAGTACCCCCTAGGTAGGAAGGTACATAGCACTGAATTTTCTGCATCTCCTAACGGAAGTCAGCGAAGGGCGAATTGGACATGAGCTCTGCGTCAGTCCTCGGCTGAGACTTGCGTCCAATCATAGCCAAACACTGATGCAGCACCCTTGTCCAATCTGTGCTCCACGCTCGATCAAGGAAGATGATGTAAAGACTCCAGAGTGAAGGCCTTGTGTTGGGTAAACCCCAAACTCTTTGGAAAACATATCCGGAAGAAGTACACCCTACAGTTCAATCTCCTTGCCAACACTTTCAAACATCCGCCTGTGCCGAAACCGTAAGAGTATGATTCCAACGCAAATCGTATCCCCTCTTCCACTTTTGACATTTACATGTTGGCGATAAGAGACAGAAATTACCTGCATGATGTGCTCTATGAAGACAGAGTTTGAGTCGGAGATTATGATAACCTCGTAGCCTCCCGCCTTGTGCAGCTGTTTGAGCAGGTCAATGATGCCGTCCACAAAGTTTATCTCCAGCAGGCAGTCCAGAATGTCATCCGGTTGCACTTGGCAGTCGTACAGGAAGTGGAACACCGCACGCATGAACGGTGTCCAGCTGTGAGAGATATATCAAATTTTACTTAGAAGTCATTTTTTGCAAGGTTCCCGGCCACTAACAGGAAGTCTGGCCATAATATTTCAAAACTTTCCTGTTCATTATTTTTTTTAATGTCATAAAAACTGTTAATGGTGCGCAGAGGGAAGCGACCATTTCCCCAAGAACCCCCGAGTTCAATGCCCACCCCTGCCTGTTTCGATCTGGATGAGCATCATGTATCGATACTGCAAGATGCACGTCCCCAGGCCAGCGCGCAGTGGTACTGCACTGGCCAAATTTATCGTCTACAGTGAAGGCACCAGATGCTTAGTGAGGCCGATTAACTTCCCGCTGTCTAAATGTTTGCTTGGGAGAGAGCGTGTCGGTTCAAATGATGGATGAAGAAAGAATAAAACAATTAAAACTGGGACCAACACAACCGCATATGTTTCAATTCGCAACAGACAAGTAAAATTTCTACAATGAGCAGCCGACTATACCCAGGAGGGAAAGGGAAGAGAAGGGGAGATAAAAAATGCAAAGTGCAAGTCAGAGAGGTGGGTCTATCTCGGATTTTAGAAATTCAACCTCAGTTTTCGTCAGCACGAGGGAAGGGTTTGACACATTGTTGTCTGTTGTGGTCATAGCGAATGACCCTATGATCTTCCTGCCGAAACTGCTGTCATGCCCCCCCTGGATTTTTATTTCATCAAAGAGGGAATGACAAAGCGAACACGAACGGGTATATATGGACTATGGGATGATAGGAATCTGGAGAGGCCCAGAAACTTCGTTGTGATGTTCCCCGAGTCTGTCATTGGTGCACCTGCCGGTATTGATGGCCGCAGGTCAAGGGGATGGAGTAAACTTTCTTTGCTTTGCATCGAATGAATTTCTTTTCGTGTTTAACAGTGCAGCTAATTGGAATCTGGTTGTCGTTCACTTGTTGACAGAGCTGCTTAAGACGCACGCGGCACGAGAAGACAACATTCTTGTTGAACTTTGAGGCAATGGATTTTATCCGGTGGGCTGAAATCCGAGATAAACCCACCTCTCTGACTTGCTCTTCGCGTTCTTTATCTCCCTTTTTTCTCTCTTTCCCTCCTGGGTATAGTAAGCTGCTCGCTGTGGAAATTTTACTCGTCTCTTGCTAGTTGAAAGATGTCGTTGTGTTGTCCCAGTTTTAATTGTTTTGTTCTTCCTTCCTCCATAATTATCATGTCTAAGTGTACACTCAAGACAATTTCAGCGACCTTTTGGGTATGTTTGAAGATTCCATTCATACTATGAATTCCATTAATATGAAGAAGATGGATGTTTCCGGGTCTTAGCTGAAGACAAATCGGTGAAAGCGTTCAACCTATGGTTCAACAGACACATTTTTTTGCCAATCTGGCTAGCCAGGTTTCGCACAATGGTAGGCACCCTCCAGAAATTTTCGCTGAACGAATTAAAAAATTCCCAACAAAAATTACAAAAAAAAAAAAAAAAAGTGTTGGTTCGTTTTTCTTAAAACGTGCACTTACCCTTTCGGACTGTAGCGTTCTTTAATCTCTGATGGAAGTTCGCCGTTCGGTGCCAGCTTCCGAATATAGAGGTCACTGTTTGCATCGATGATGGTGTGATCGAAGTCAAAAACGACTAGGTGCTTCTTCATGCCTTTGGTCTGAAAAGCAGAACATTGACAACCTTCACAACTCCGGTTGCACCAAAAACAAGCGCAACTGTCAGCGCAAACTCGATCGCTAGTCCAAGTCACATTCTCAAGAAGGTCGATCGAAACGGAACTAAAGCTGGAGCTCTCGCCGGCAACGCAAACAGCTAGGGTACTGGTGGACATTGCTCGCAGTGTCCTGCAACAAAGACCCAAAGTACCCGTTTTTTTTTTCTTTTTTTACCTAGTAAAAGCGTGACATCACCTGTTCTGCAGAAGAGCACCGACACAAAACAGATTCGTTCTTTTGTTTTTAAAATTACCGTGGAGGTATCGCAACGGTGACCACTGCGGCAGAAGAAAAGCTGCAGCCGCTGTCAAGTCCTGCCTGTCCGTTTCAGTTTGCGACCGCAGATGCGCGCAAAGTCGACGCACACGTACGCGAAATTCGCTGTAAACACACTCGCCAGTTCGTCCGCCTATCGCCAAAAACAGCCGCGGGCGAAATTAGTAATCTGCAAGACATGCATTAGCCAAAAATCAATTTTGCGGCGAGAAATGCGAAAAAGAGAACGGCGGCGCCTGACAACAGCTGATCGCAGAAAAAAGAAAAAACAAGAGGCCGACTCGGCCGTGTTAGTATCTTTGTTAGGAACAGTCGGTATTGGCAGAGGGCGCGCTATGCAAGTCCGGCTACATATATTGAATACGCGTTTTTTCGATGGTTGTTTGAGAAGATTCTACACATATTTTAATAAAAAAATTAACGTAATTTTGTCTTATTATTTTCACCCTTAACTTTGCACTTAAGCGTGAAAATTGTTGACGCGATACTTTATTAATGCTATTACATATTTGGAACGAGCGACCACGCCTGAGTTGTTTGTCCGCAAATTCGGGGTTACGGCACTGAAAACTTGAACTTCTCTTCAAATGCATAATTTTTAAGGTTTGGGGCGTAATTTCTTTTATTTCTGACCGCCATACGTGAACCAAATCATACGTACGCGTTATTGGCATGCTCGATTACCTTGGTTATACACCGATGATGCCGTGAAGCCTAGTTGTTGCGTGCCGTCGTCTGCTATTTTCTAGGGTGACGCATTTCTGCTTTACGCGTACACGACCCCCATCGAAAGGCTACTAGCCTTACAAAGCAGAACAAGAAAGACTTAACGCGAGTTCTTGATCTCAGCGTCCGTCTGCCTTTCAGAACCGGTAGAAAGTAGGTCGCTATCCTCGCGCGTACCAATCGTTGGGCGAAATAAATAATAAAAAGGTTACCAAAATGCTTACACTGCGCGTCCAGTAGGCGCTTTCAACGAGAGTCAATACCCTTTGTTGGTATCGCGCACTAATTCCTCAACGAAGCGCAAACAGCTCCACGGATTTTGCTTTTCCGCATAGCCGGGTACTCGTAGCAGCCGACGCTTACCTGCGATTTCCGATGCATGGCTGCGAAGTGTCACGTACAATGATGCGCTCGATTTAGGCGGTCTATTTTTTTTGTTGAGTGCGTTCCTCTTCCGCGGTGAGACAGCTCACATAATTGCGCTTCCAAGTCCTCCCCGAAAAAAATAAAATCAACTGCGAACTCCGGCGCGGCGACAACTGACGCGTCGCCACCTAGGTATTCGCATGTTGTTGACTTTCGAGCGGGAGAAAAAAAAACAAGAAAACAAAAACAGAACCGAGCCAAGGTTATCCGCGCGCAAAGCGTAACGCCGCCATAGTTGTTTTTCAGCTATTTGCGGCGGCTGAGCTAGACGGAGCGGCGCCTGGCATCTCCCCCGGACGTTACCGCAGCGCCGGCGAATGACAGGCGTGGCCTGGATCGTGACGTAACGGTACCGAAGCCGGCGTCGGGCAGGCTGTAGTGCCGCTGATTGGACACCGAGTTCTACGTCATCGTTCGGCTGGAACTCGGGCTCAATTGGCGAGAACACGAGTCTCAGCCGAAAGATGACGCAGTGCTCGGGTCCCATCTGTGCCCTGCGTAAATGGTATTTGAAATCCAGCACTACAGCCTGGTCGGAATGACAGCAGATTTATGAAAAGAAATGAGCTTTACATCATGCACTTTGTAAATTGCATTTTCCGGAATTATGACGCCTGCTTGGATGGTGGGTTGTGTGTAGATGCTATAGAAAAATTGATGAATTTTCTTTGCAAACAAAATATATGCTTAAAGAAAAGGCAGGCATTGACTTAACAAACGCAATATCAAATTGGTTCATCAGCACCCAGAATGGTTACACACCTAATCGGTAAAAAGGAAGGTGACCAGAGTCAATGTCACACGAAGCACTTCGGTATGCAAAAATAAGCACTTCTATAAATTAAGGCAAACAACATCTCCTTTTTTTTAATGTCAATTGGGGATGGACGGCAAAAGCAATGAAATGAGACTTGCACTCCGAGATTCTTTTAGAAAAAAAAATCTTTGTTTTTCTAAACTCAAGTTCAAAAATTTTACATGGTAGAAAAAAAAAAAAATGGAATCCTTCCACACCCTTGTAAAAAGGGCACAGGAGTACTTCTTGCATCACGATTACAGACGCGGGTACCAAGGCGTGCATCCAAGAAAGAAACACTCGCAAAAAAAACTTGTATGTACAAGGCACTACGCGGAAAAAGCTGCACACTTCACTCGCAGAGTAAAACGAAGTTTGCTGGAGGTTATAGAAGTGGTGCTTCCGCCGCAAAACACTCGATATGTAAATACACAACGCAATCGCGTGATGGGAAAAGGCAGGCTTGTCTCGCGCAGTAAGCTCTCTTAAAATACACAAACTTAAATTACGACCAATCTCATTCCTTGGAGGCAACGTCCCTCACCTTTTTTTTTTCACCCCCATTGTATACTTTTTGTTCTCTTGTCGTTAGTCGAAAGCATGAGCCCTTCCCCATCAGGGAAACATGCCCACGGCTTCCTCAACCAGTCAAGAAGACCCTTGCTTCGTACGATAATGGCACACTCCGCAAATACGTGGACGGCTGAAAAAGAATGACACGAAAAGGGAACGCGAGGAACACACACAATGGACGAGAAGAAACTAGGTTGAGGCATGTGACGCCAACGTCAAACGTCCCGCAGCAGTTCAATTCCCACCCCACCTTCATCGTTCGTCACAATGGTCCCATCGTCGCAAGACCACCCACGAGAAACTATGGCAATTCGTTTGTGCGGCCCGCCCTCCCTCACACTTTGGAGCCAGGCATCTGGTGGTGGTCTCGCCGTGGTGCCACGGAGTAGCCCTGTGACAGATTGTTCGGGGAATGTCGGTAACCGGGCACCGTCTGCGGGTGCGCTCTCGGCGCCGCCGTGGGCACCGTCTTGATCAGGGTGCCGACGGAGTTTGCATTGCCGGAGATGCTTGCGCCGTGCGGCAGCGTGGTCGCAACCGTCTTTGCGTAGACCATCCGATGTCCCGCGATGTGGGCGTGGCGGGGTAACGAGCTGGAGTCGGTTCCTCCGCCGCCCCCCGTGCCGTTCTTCTCCTTGTGCTGCTTGGGCAGTTGCGCCTGGATGCTCTCGTACTCGAAGTAGTTGGAAGACGGGCGCTCGGGTCGCGGTCGACTCGGCATCGGCGGAGGGGGCGGACGCGGCCCCTGTTTCTGCTGCTGTTGCTGCTTCTGTTGGAACTGGCGCAAGTGCAGCTGAATCTCGTTGAAGTTGACGTAGTGGCTGTACTGCGTCGGGTCCGCCAGTCCCACGCGGCTGCCCGGTCTGTGAAGAAACGGTAGTTGTTCGAGTAAAAAAAATCACTGAAATGCGTGAACATCCAATGTTTAATTTGATTTTTTAGAATGCTAAGGTTGCACTATAATGAATGACAAGGTGGGAACAGTTGGACGTTTCTTTTTTTAGTTTCCGGCTGCATGTGAGGCTCACGAAACGTCCAAGCGTCACAAAAGGTAAAAAGTTAGAGCTGGAGGCAGCAGAACTGAAGCTCCTCTCTGCTCTTCTTGTCCTGCCAGCGAATATGGTGACTTCCGAGAATTATGCGGAAGAATATGTGGTTGCACACCTTGAAGGTGCATACTAGGGTTGTCGCGAACTTTTGTCGAACCGGATTTTTAGGTCGAACTTCCGTGGTTCGACTGGGTCGAACCGGTTCGACGAACTTTCGAACTTTTAGCCAGATTCGACCGGTTCGACTTTGTGAACAGTGTGGCCAGACTTCAATACAAGCATGCCTAGGTTTGGATAATTTTTTTTTATGCAAAAGGTTATTTCAATTTTATGAACAGTTGCAATTAAAAGCAACTAATTCTAATCACTGAATAAGTTGATAACTTAATTGTTTGTACTGTATTAACTGAAATAACCAATCAGTGCTGCCCTTAATTTATTCCTTAGCCATCACCATCAAATCCGAAGCCAACTGGCCAGCCTGCCGCGCATGCGCACACGAGTCGAACCTCAATGCAAGGTTTGACGCACTTTCCACTTAAAAGTTAGAAAAAGTCGAACCTGGTCGAACTCAAACCTCGGCCGGTTCGCGACACCCCTAGTGCATACGCATTAAGTTTGCCCGTGCCTCTAGAAACGTTCCACAAGCGTCAAACCCATTTCCTTTTTTTAATTTATTTTGTTTTTTATTTAACAATTCATTTTTCTGCATTTTTCTGCAAGTTCCTGCATTTAACTATGACTTTCATTCCGTCATTTTTAAGCGTATTCTCCGTATATCAAGTGTCCTTGTGTCTAGCCTTGAATGTTCTTGCAAATTAATACAACTTTTTTTTCGGCACTTTACTCTTTTTTTTCTTGTGTGACTTTTTTCGCCATTAAATTATATTTTTTATTTTTATCATCCCACAACTGCTGTGTCTGCGCACCTTATTTTTTCCTATATATCAACGGAAGCATTTATAAACCTTAGTAAACAAGGAGGGTACGGTGGGAGCCCCATAATGCAATGCGTGCAGTGTTTGTTTTAACATTTAGGCTAGTTGCTCCGGATTTTGTAAAGCCGGATCTCGTGAAGCCATGGCCCCGTTAAATTTAGCTGGAAAATTGACGCCATGTGATCTCAACACCAATTCAGTTTCCCCGCTAAATTTAGCGAGGAAAATGGCATCACATGACTTTGTGTCACAACACCTATGAAGAAATTCAGTTACCCCACTAGATTTAGAGGGGAAATTGACGTCCTGTGACCTCAACACCAATTCAGTTTCCCCGCTATATTTAGTGGGGAAAATGATCTCGCATGACTTAACGTCACGTGAATTGTACACAAAAGTCAGTTTCCCCGCAAAGTTTAGCGGGAAAACAGGACCTCAACACCAATAGACTACTTCCATAAAGCCCTGCATGCAACACGGCGCGCGTTGCACTCTGGGAACTAGTTGGCCAGGGAGGAGGGTGGCATGGTTTCGGTTTCGATAGGCACGTCGACAAGAGATTGTTTTTTGGTCCCGAGAGAGTCATTTGTGGTCTCTAAACTAACCTAAATGGCCAGACCTCGAACCTTTAGCACAAGCCTGAGACGTATAGCTTGTCTTACCACATGCTTGTTGTATTCTTGTACTTGAGCCTTCCTGTTAGCGTTCCAATCGAGGTATGTGGACGAGCCAGTGCTGGGAATCTCGACGCTGCGAAGCTCGGGGATCTTGCTTGTGTACGAATCAACAAGCTGTAGCAACCAATAAGTATGCATACATCGAGCTCGCGTCTTTACATTAATGTTGTTGATCAGGAAGTTTGTTTCGTGCGTCCATACACGAAATATTACTTTTTGCTATTACTGTTTTTCTTAATATGCCTGAGTATGCGAGGTAAAACTCGGAGGCGCCATTGAAAAGCTAAATTTTAGCACACTTCTTATGTCTTATCTGAACAGACCCGCAGCACTGCGCGAAGTGAAGTTCCCACCCGCTTGCATTCCACTAATATTCAACATCGCGTATGCGCATAAAGTTATCCTGCAATCATGTAGGAAAATTCGCACATACAGACCGTTTTAAGAAAGCAAAAGTCGAGCACTTCTGTGAAGAATGTCGCACCGTTCGCCGGAAGTGCGCCGGACGGGCATGGACCCCTATGCGCACCGGGTTCATGCCCGTCCGGCGCACGGTGCGACATTCTTCACACAAGCGCTCGAACGAATTCAAAGCGCGTTTGACGGTTGCTAATGGCCATAATATTTGTTATGTGTTTGCTTTCTTCCTGCCTGAGTATGCCGAGATAATTTCAGACACACCGTTCAGGCACAGATCTTGGGCGTCAGTAAAAGCTCGTCCAAAAAGGCTTAGCGAGGAGTAGGGGACGCTTGTTAGGGGCTCCGTCGTAGCTAGCCGATCTCAGCGTTTGCGAAAAGTTAATCTTCTATCAGGATAAAATTTGAGTGTGAGATAGGTGATGACACGAGGAAGACATCATAGTAACTTTTGTGCAGTAGTGTAGTCGAATTTATTGCGTTTCCTTAAAAGTTCATGCGTAAACGCTGGGCTCAACTTTGATACCCTGTGAGGATGCGGCTTGCTTTTCGCCCAATGAAGTAACAAAAAGCGAACGTTTGGCAAAAAAAAAAAAAAAAAAATACGTGTAAGGCTCCAGATGAACAAATCTCAGTTCTAGTTCACTGGTACTAGACGGGATTATTGAAATTGAGCTCAAACGTGCACTCGTGGGGTGAGGTGACTATGCCACGACTTACTACGTTCGCATACGCACGTACAATATCCGGTGTTTCGGGAACTAAGGAAAGTGCCCCGGTCTTCGTATTGTATCGCTCGAAAATGAGTGCATTGTACGTTCGTGAAAAGTCAGATAATCGAAAACGCAAGCAGCGCGTTCGGTCGCGGCGTGATAGCATGAGATGAAGCTGCTCAGTCGAAACCGAAACTGAGTGGCCAACTAGTTCCCAGAGTGCACTGCGTGGTATTTCGCCGCAATGGGGCGCGTCGGTTTTGGAACAAGTCCATTGAATTCTCCGCTAAATCTAGCTGAAAAACTGAATTGGTGTTGAGGTCATGTGACGTCAGTTTTGCGACTAACTTTAGCAGGGAAACTGAATGTGCTCTGTTGCATTATGGGACTTCACAGACCTACACATCAATTCAGTTTCCTTGGAAGATTTACCGGGAAATTGAATTGGTGTATAGGTCTGAGACGTCCCATAGTGCAACGCGCGTGGTTACACTGACGGCGACAACAACGGCGACGCCGCTATACGCGGAAACAGGCACCTAACAGCTGCACTCTAAAAGGCAACCTCAAGGACAGTTAGTATGGGTGGTGCTCAGATTCACACAAAAGAATTATTTTCCTATACTTCGTTCCACCTTCAGTCCGAGCGCAGTGGACACCACGAGCTATCCTAGCCGATCGAGCGCCGGAACATAATCGCGTGACCTGCCGGTTGGGCAGAGTGAAGCAGGGAGCTCAAGGTCACATGACTCTCTCTCAACGCTGGATTGGCTGGTATGGCTCCTAGCGTCCGCTGCGCTCGGACTGAAGGTGAAACGAAGTATAGACCCGGAGATTTTCCTATTTAATGGCAGCTTCAATTAGGGGTTTTTCGAGTTTCCCCGATTTTGAGAAGACCACTATGGAGGTTAATTATCGGGGTTTATCAATATTTACTGAAAACACACTACCACTAAGTATAATGTATGTATGTATGTGTTTTTCTCTTCTTTTTTTAAATAAGTAGCAGATTACACATCTATTTCCCCAAAATGTGGTATGATGAAGTGAAAAGCGACAGCACAGTAAGTTCCAAACCTTTCCATCTCCTTGAATATGTCGAAGCTTTGTGACCTGGAGTGGACGACATCACTTTCTCTTCTCTGGAAGGGGGGAAAGGTACAGCACTTGTTAAGAGCTTGATCCTTAATCCTTAGTAGTGAATGTCATGCTTGACATTCAGCAATGTAAAACAATTAAAGGAAATTATAGAACTATGTGATCAACACAGTTCTTTAATGTTGTTGAGAGTTAACATAATGATCAAAAAGTTAAAACTTCCAGACTAAATATGACATCCGCTTCCCAATAGTAACATGAGCCAAAACAAGGTACAAATATCATTCAAAACAACTTCGGCTGATGCAAAAGATCAGGCACATCATCATGCAGCTGAGCAATGGTGTCCTGCCAGCTACAAGTTGATAAGGATAAGCCAAGAAAATAATGCTACGAAAAGAAAGGCAGTCATGCAAATGAAAATATCGGTCACCACGTTATTTTACCAACAAATCTACAGTAAGCAGCTTTCTTATTGACCAATTCTACACTTAACATGCAGATATTACAAGCCAAGAAGGACTAGGAATGCACTCCAGGGGCATCTGGCCACTAGCCCTGTATCTGTTGGGAAACCGGTCGGTTTCGGCACAACACGACAACACTCATGCAGAGGACGCAAAGGGGAGGGCATTCAGAGTCACGTGACAATGGTGTGATACCTGGAGACCCCGAGGTGTTCTCAGACTAAACGACCGACCGAATGAACCGTTTCTCTGCGGACTGTACACCTGTGTGAGAGAGGGAGTGGGATGGGAGGGACGACAGTGGGACTCCACTTAGGGAAGCCCGTGAACCCCATACACGCTTCGCACTTCCCCGCGAACCTGGTGTGTCTGCTTTGGCCGCTTTGCAACAACTGTGTGCGCAGAGCTGAAATACAGCAGCCCAAGGTTCGGGCAGGGGTTCTCGCACTTTGGAGGCAGCGGCAAGGAACGACCGTTCGCGTAGGGCAACGGCCCTCCAACTTTTTCGCGTTGAGGAATGTCCGTCTCTTTTGACCCCTCCCAGTCTCGGCATCCATGCAATAAAGCGGTGCAGAGACCTACGCACCTTGTAAACAATAATGTGCAGTCTTTGTCAAGTTCAGAGAGCCCACAGTGCACGTGTTCGAAGTGGGCTTGCTTCCATTTAACGGCAAACACTGGCTCCGAGGGTTTTGAAAGTGAGAGGAGAACTTCGCTCTTGCATCACATTCGCCTCGACAAATGACTTTGTTATCAAGGCAAGCATGATGCAAGAGGCAAGCTCCCCCTCACTCTCACAACCCCTGCAGCCAGGAAGCGCTAAGGAGAGAAGCGCCCCGGCCCTGCTCCGACCCCACGTGCGGTGGGCTCTAAACTTTTGATGAAGACTGTACATACAAAGGACTCTTTGGCACATAGTTGCGCGTCAACGAATGGCCCAGATATTTTGCGAATAGCGCTTAAACCGGACAAACACATTACTCAGGGGTCGAGACGGCCGAGGGAATTTGGAGAGTTCTGGAAACTCTCAGGGAATGCCTGGGTTCCTTGGAGCCTCGTTTGAGAAACCACGGTGTAAAGAGCGACTGTGTCGTCCACAAATGGCAAATGTGATAACTGCAGTATGCACAAGGACAGTGGCATACCCTGCTGGCTAGCGGTGACCAATGACGTTATCAGTACAAACAACCCACCCCCCCACTTTATGATGCATTCACAGATAGTCCCATTCTGCACTTAGCAGGAAAGCAAAAGGGAACTGTCTTATCTGTGGAGCTTCCAGAGATTGCGGTTGCTATGCAAGTATGTGCTACACTAACACTACAAAGTCTCACAGACTTTGACAACTGAAGCTGTGGCCACTTGACATGATTCTAGTATCACCTGCACTCATATTCGGAGGCCTTGAAAGGGTGACACGGTGAATACCTAGATACTATGTCTCAATGGAGCAACCATAATATTAAATACTACAACCCAACCTTAGAGAGTCATGCTCTCAATTGTGTCATTACTGTTCATGAGCTTACCATAAGCATAGTGCAACCTAACCTTAGAGAGTCATGCTCTCAATTGTGTCATTACTGTTCATGAGCTTAGCATTAGCACAGTGCAACTAAATAATTTTCTTTGGTAATAAATTAGTTCAATGATGAGCTCAGAAATCGGTGTATTTGAACATTTGAGTTTTGGGCACTGCAGGATTATATGGACCAAGAAATCTCAGAGAAAACATTCCTATTGTTTTCTTATAATTAAAATTTTCTGAATTTTTTTTTTGAGGGATGTACATTGCAAAAAGAGACCGGGGCAGAAGGCCACAGGTGTTAGTTACTAATTAAAAGAACTACACAAGCCAGTTGTTTTACATTTTAAAATAATTGGCCACCACTTTGAATTAATACAATTGTTCACCAACTTCTTACGATAATCAATTGGTTATCAAAAGCATTGTGGGTAACTGCATGTACATTTTCCTTTTGTGTTCATCCACTACAGCTCGTAAGGCTTTCAAGAATTTCTAGGAGCCCAAGTAAGCCCCCTCTCGATTCTGTTCAAATAAATCTCCTCATACTCACTGAAGCTGACAAGGCTTCCCAAATGTTGTCCATACATAACAGAGGCCGACATACAAGCAAAGTGTTTTAGCATTCTTTTCATGTCGTAACGCAGGTCGTCCAGTGCTTTGAGCTACCTGCATGCCTCTTCCAAATAACAGAATTTAGTTTCAAATTTTTAAAATGTCTTACTTCTAAGGTAGATATTGAGGAGTTTCAGCGACGGTGTCACCGCCCTGGCGGCCGGTGTGTTTGCAATGTCAGTGTTGTATACAGTGTTTCTTCTTTGACCTTTATTTTCCTTTATTAAGGCAAATTTGGAACAGGCTTGGGAAGATGCCCGGGGTTTAGATGGTTTGAATGAGGTGGTAAGTCAGAGATTTCAGTGAGAGCTGTCTTATTGAAAATGTGTAGTAACAATGCACATTTAAATTACACGGATGATTAAAAAACCTGCTGTCACAAGAGAAAATCTTCCAAAACCTTAGGCACATTATTACAGCCAGAACAACAATATGTATGTCAATCTATAGCCTGTAATACATATTAAAAAAAAATCTTGACAAGAAGTTTTAGCAAGCTTAAAATCAGAAATAGATGCCAGAATTGCCTATCTTCTGTCACAACTAGTGGGATTTCTTGCATAAAATTTTATGGAATTCAATGTCAAAACTTGTGCAGTAGGAATACATAAAACTTTTGGAAACATGATCGGATTGAGTGTCATTCATGCCGTATGAGCGTCTTTCACGTGGTTACGTTTGTAACTGGTGTTTCAGTATTGTATCAGACAAGAAAATTGTTGCCACTTATATCATCATGCTACATACAATTCAGCAAATATTTATGGTTCGGCAGATGAATACAGACCACAAAGCTTCTAACTGGAATTAAACAAGTGTGAGGTAAACATACAACATACTACAACAAGCTTTACGCCCGACAGAGAACTTCATAATGTGCAAAATGTCTAGAGCTGCCTTTTACCTAGACTTCTCTCCAATACAGTTCTGACATTGATTCTAAGGATACTACACTGTTTCTCGTTTCACCTTATTGCTTGTGCGAAGGTGTTATTCAAGCATTAGCTCATAACGTTCGCGTGCTGGGAAAACTAGTGGAAGATAGAACCTCAACACGAGAAACATTCCGCAATGAAGATGCCACCACTGTCGTTCCGTCACCACTGCCACCATAGTGAGAAAGCACTTCAGAAGGAAGGTTAGTGTTCCGAATGCACGGCCGGCCAGTCGGCAGAGACACCCCTTCACCCACACGCAAAATGACACACGCACACAGACACAAAACCCCCAAAGACGAAACGACATGCAACCAGACGGGAAGCCAAATTTACACAAGTCACAAACAATTAGTGAACACACAAGATTTTCCTGTTTGCCAAAAGGGCTTGAAACTCTAGCTAGGAGAATGGGTCAATGAAACATACCTTACTCCATTCACCTATAAGCTGAGACTGCGGTGGAAGCTAGGTGCTTGCCGGACCAACCAGCCGCCTCCCTTTCATCACCTGACCCGGCTCTGTGCTTGGGTATTGGCAGGAGCATCATCACATGGCAAAAGAGAGGCGTATGACTGGTCCAATGAGGACGTAACATAGCCACAGTCTGAGCTTGGGGGTAAACGGAGTATAGGAGTGCACCCTACCAAAAAATTAAAAATGTCTCCGATAAAATAAAAAGAAAAACTTTTCCTCACGGTTACACAATATCTTTAGTACCCTGCTTTAGACACTATGCGAGAAATGATGCCCACAGATCTGTGTACCCTGAATACAACGGTGCTCACTGGCCGTGCAAGAGCATCGCATCCCCAGAGAATTTAATTCGGATGCTGGCCGACTCGAAAGTTGCAGACTGCAATAACCGGCTAGCTGCATTAAGAGTAGCGCAAATTTCTCAACGAGCATTGCCATTGCTGTATGAGCAAAACGACAAAAACATACAAAAAAATATATTGTATCTAATTTTCTGCATTTCTGCATTTCTAGAGCTCTATTTTATAACAACCCATCGCATGCAAGCTGTTGTGACGAAACAGATAATAACCCACTTTATTTGATCGTAAGAGCAGGGCACTTCGTCTCAAAATTTATCGACCTTTAAAAAAAATTAGGGAACAAAAAAAAAAGTGTCCCAAGGAGTTACTTAGGGTGCAAAGGATGCAGTGAGATATACCAGTTACCAAAAGGATGACAACGGCAGGATCTCTCTTTTCGAAGCTTGGCCTCCAGCACGCTTTGGGTGAGCGTGCACGCACGAGGCTCAAAAGACACCGAAGCGTTGTCGAAGGTAGGGAGGTCGTGATGCACAACTGAGAAACTTCCTTGCCGTTCTCATCCTTTTAGCGACTAGAGACGTCTGAATGGCGCTCTCGAGTGCATCGGGAAGGGAGCGAATGTGGCACGAGAAGAGGCGGTGTGTACCTTAGGGATGACCCTCTGACAATAGCCGTACGTGCCATAGGCGGGCGGCAAGGCGTGAGGCACAGGCGGCAGAGGCCGGCATTGCTGAAAGCAGAGCGCCAAGCGTGTCGGCGAGGGGGTTAGGGGAAGCGGGACGACACGCAGCCCGGGTTAGAAACCGCCCCGACCCTGGCGAGAGCCTTTGATGCGACACTGAAAGCAATACTATTCTAGGGTTCACATTTGCACATTGAGTATACAAAGCATTTTATTTTAGTTCACACAATTATAAAGCACAGCTCTTAGGCGCCCGTTTCCGGGTTGAGCACCGTCGGCATCGGCATTAGTGTAACTGTGCTAAATTTGGCGAGAAAATTTACGTCATGTAACCTCAACACCAACTCAACTCCCCGCTAAATTTAGCAGGGAAAATGACGTCAGATAACTTGGTGACGTCACCTACAAACAAATTCAGTTTCTTTGTTAGATGTAGCGAGAAAATCAACGTCATGAGACCTCAACACCAATTCAGTTTCCCCGCTAAATTTAGCGGAAAAAATGACGTCACATAACTCGTTGTCATGTCAGCTACCAAGCAAATTCAGTTTCTCCACAAGGTTTAGCGGGAAAATTGACGTCACATGTGGAGGAGGAGGAGGGGAAGGTACGGTGGAGGAGTGGGGGAGAGGAAAAGGAGTAGGGGAGGAAAAGGGGGAGGGGAGAAGAGGAGGGAACAGTAAGAGGAGCAGGAAAGGTGGAGGACGAGGAGAAGAGGATGAAAGGAGGAGGAGTAGGGGAAAAGGAAGAGGAGGAGGAGAGGAGGAAGAGAAGGATGAGGAGAATGGGAGGAGAGGGTATGGAGGAAGAGGAGAAGGGGCATCCCCCTATCTACCCTCCCCTCCTCTTCCTCCTCCTCAAGAGCTGTGCTCTAATTTCACATTACACGTTACACAAAATGTAAAGACATTTGTAAATGTCTTTACCTTTTGAAATTTTTTAAAATATTGTCATGAGTTAGATAGGTGCCGTCATCACTGTGGATTTACCAGGCTCTCTGGACGCTAGATAAAAGGTAAACGTCGTGGTAAGTTGGCTAATTAATGGAAATCGGTTAATCAACTTTTTGTTTAGCATTGTTTGTTTTATGGGTCATGTTGCAGCTACAGAATTGATGACAATTACTATTGGAGGCTAGACCAATTTCAATAAATTTGAAAAAAGGCAATGGTTTTTATGATGTTCATAAATCGCTATACATATTTTTTTTCGTCCAATTTCAATATTGCACCCAAAAAGAGACCCGCAAGCCCTGCCCACACCAATCATTAGAAGAGCGGCGTGGTCGTTTCCGTCACGTCGTCACTATCTTGGCGGCACGTCTCTGGCGGATGCACCAATGACGCAGTGTCGAGCTGGTGCCGACGCGATACTCAAAAGCTTTGGGCTGGCTCCAACGCCTCGCAGCCTCCGCCATAGTACGTCGTCAAGCAAAGCAAAGCGTAGCAATACGTTCGGGCCGAATGCTTTTAATATTTGGATTCATGAGGCAAAGATATGACAGAAGTTATCTCCACCTATAGTTTTTCTTTTAAGAACCTCTTCAGCTTCCCTTTAAAGAGTTCAAGTTACCATCCCACTGTGCTGGTCAAATTGCCCTCTGAAGCTACGACCGTCGCAAAGCAGAGCCGATTTCTTACCGCGTATTGATACACAAAGCGATTCCGATGTTGGTTTTAGCCATAGCCCCGCCTTATTGGAAGGAAGCGTCACCCAATACCGGGCACCGGGGAGCGACAACCTGGTGCGGGGCAAAAGGGAGGGAGAGAAGGGGCGTACCGGGGGCAGCGGGGAGCGCATCTTGTGCTGGAGGTCCTGCTCGTACCACTCCTCGAGGTCGTCCCGCGGATAGTGGCCCTGCCTCTCCACGTGCCGCTTCTGATGCTGGGCACGCAGCTGCTGCATGCGTTCCTGCCGAGTGGACGGGGTCCCGTTGGGGCCGCACGGCGGGGGGGACACCGGCAGCGGGGGCAGCGGCTGGGAACGCTGGTGCTGCTGCTGCTGCTGTTGGAACCAGAGTAACAGCTCAGTCTGGTGTCTGCTACCGATAAGTATACTCAAACCATGAGAGGCACCCCATCGATGTCGCATACAAAAATCTGCGTTTACCGGGGCTTATGTTGATGAGAACAGGACAATATGGCCATGGCATTCCACAAAACCAAAAAATATGCCCGTGCCCCAAATACTCTGATCCCTCGTTATGAGAAATTGATTTGTTTGAATTATCGCTTTTATCGAAGTGCAACGTGGTCCCAACCGAAATGCACGAATTTTGAAACGGATTATTCCAAGTGTATCGGCGGCCAACCACGCTTATTACGAAGGCTGCGGTGCCGAAAGCATGCGAGCCTACACGGAGGCGCACAGAGACCCTCACATTCCCTCTCCCTTCTCCATCAAGGCAATTGGTAAACTGAGAAAACGGCAAACAAGAATGGAGCAAACGAGCAACGGAGGGCAGAGCGCACAGAGCGCTGCTTCAGATGCCGATGCGCCGACGCGGACAGGGAACAGCGTCCACGACGTTCTGACGCTACTCACGGCAATCGCGACTAATGCTGCCAGACTCCTGTCGGAATGGGAGAGGTAGCGATGGAGAGGATCGTCCCTTCGGGACCCCTTGACGCACATGCCTACAGCGAACGCGCACACGTGCGTCGTATGGGAGAGTGGAAGCATTTACTGAAAGTTGCATAGATCTGCGAGGTTGAGAAAAGTGGCCGGTTCAAAATCGCCAAAGAATTCAACGTTCCGGCACTGGCTGTTTGACACTGTCCACCATCACGCAAGTTATACTGGACGGGTTTATGAGAAGTTTCTCATGGAAAAGAAAGTGTGCCCGCCACATGAAGATGAAGAATCGCCAACTGCTTTGCCCACAACGAATTTTCTCTCACCGGCATGCTTGCCAAGCCGGCGCACGATTACCGGAGCTGCAACAATTTCTACAGGAATGTGGGAAAACATGTTGGCGAGGCCACCGAGGATAACTTTGATTTGCTTGACCTTGCCAATGCGAACATTCCTGTTGTTGCTCCTGCCACGAATGCTGCAATCTTGTGTGCGGTCAGGGTAAACGTGAAGCGACATCGGATAGGCACCTCGGGAAACGTCGATGACTGCGGAGACACAAAACATCCTATGGCTGCTTCCAAACAAAGTGAAGTGCAGCGGCAGTGGCCGTGTTCTAGCGATACATGGAGTAGTTCGAGGAGAACTGATGCCCAGATAAAATTATCGGCAAATTCCCCTTCATTATTTTTATACTCCGTAAAGCTGCCGCTTGTTGTTTATAACCAAGGTTTGTTTAATTAAACATAACGTGAGAGTGTTTCTCATTGTTCCCGTTTACCTTCAAGCTGCTGGCGTAGTTCTTTTGGCTCTATCGCTTTTATCGAATCGCCACATACATCTAATTTCATTGCCGTTCCGTTGACTTCGTTATAACGAGGGATTACTGTATACTTGAAAAATTTCCCAGTATTTATAAAAGAGGGTAAAAAAATTGGGTGGCTGGTTCCCAAAGGAAGCCTTATGAACAGTTCAGTGAATGCTGTTTTCTCAGTGCAAAATAAAGCTGTACATTAATATTTCTTCTTGTGAAGTTTGGGTTTCTTTTTTCGAAGGACAGTTTTTATTGGGGCATTTCTAATTTCAATGATTTTGGTGAAACCAGCTTGGCAGTTAACTTTTTGGGGCTTGTCGGTATACGGGTCTTTTATTTTTAAGCTTTACAAATCTGTTTTGAAAAGGCCGTGAAAGCTACACTTATATGCAGTCTGTGCAGGTGAGTTATACAACCAAGGGGACATAATATGGGGGCTAATCGTAACGATCAGTCGGCTAATTAAGTAAAATGTATTTACTTTTTATTTAGTAAAAACTGATATATGGTTCAAATTAGAAACTTACTGAGCGTCATCAAAAGCCACTAAATCAACTATTTTTAAAAGGTTATAATACCGGGTCAGCATCTTATGGCGTTCTGTAAAAATGCTCCATTTGGACGCGTTTCTAGATTTTGGTTTTTTGTCGGAGCACATCTATGCACTTGTGGTTTTGTTTCTCAGCGGCTCAGACGCGCAACCCACGTGCACCCCACTCCCTCCATCCTACGAGGGAGGTGAGGGGGTGGCTTCACGCCACGACCACCGCCTCACCGGACCGCGGGTGCAAAGATGCGTTCTGGTCAGAAACCGAAACCTAGAACGCGTAGAAACTGAGCATTTCTTCAGAACACCATAAAATGTTGTCCCGGCCTTATATCTTTTTTCTATAATGCTCAGCAAATTTCTAATTAAACATATGTCTATTTTCACTAACTAAAAAGTAAATTAACAAATTATACTTATTTAGCCAATTGATCGTTACGATTAGCCGCCACATTATGTCCCCTTGGCCGTATAACTCACCTGCCTAAATCGCATAAGTGTAGCTTTTATGGCTCTTTTTAAACAAATCTATAAATTTCTAAAAAAAAAAAAAGACACCCTGTATATGGGAACCTTAGTTATAGAATCTGCTGCTGGTAACGAGCAGCCGTTTTCTCGTTCAGCTACTCGAGACTTCTCCAACCTACCGGGTGCTGGAATTGATGTGGCTGTTGCTGCTGATGCTGCTGCTGCTGCTGGTGTTGCTGTTCGACGAGCTTTCGGTACTGCTCCTGTATCCTCTCCTGCTCCTCCCGTGCTGCCTGCCTTGCCCGAAGACGCTCTGCCTCTTGCTCCATCTCCTCGCGAGACAGTTTGGATCCAGGCTCGGGGATTGTCTTGCGGTTCTTGCCAAACCGACTGTGCAAACGGAGAAAAAAAGGAAAAAATCAGAGTTCAGAGGACACAGTCTGCAATCTGCCTTTGGTTTCAAGAACCAGTCAGATTATGATTTGTCACAACAACAAAAACAAAAAAAAATGTCGATACAAAAGAGTAGATTCTGTAGATACCTATCGTGCGAACCATTGACATCACACAGTGGGGACAATGAAGTCAACTGTAGGAGAGGACTGTTTCATCTATACCCTCGGTGCTCCCAATAGACTCGGTTCATTATTTCAAAGTTGTCCTAGCGCGTGCAACCGAAACAGTTAGTGCATTATACTCTCCTTTGCAAAGCTACTGACATTGAACAAGCAGACACATAAATCCTTCTTAACAATCGCGCGACTTCTGTGCATACGTGTCACCCGTAATGTTTCAGTTATAATCGTGCACCTCTAGATTAGGATTACTATTGCTACCGCGCTTGGAGTGCATCTTCGAGTGGTGTGTTTAGCGTCCCAAAGCGGATAACTTACAACCCGGCAGCCGGCACGCCACGCTGTTGGATGCCACGGTCCCGGCGGTTTGTCGCAGAAGCTCCAACAAAAAAGACGAGCGAAGGCGAGTGTCGCAGTCGTCGCGGCGTCCCGACTCGTTGCTGCAGAAGCTTCCGCGAACTTTCCTGTAGACGGCGAGCTAAAGCATAACGGGTGTTCGACGCAACCGCCTCCGCCGTTCTGTACCTGCCGGGATCATGGAAGGCAATGGCGCCATTGCTTCTACAACTTTATGGGGCAGAAATTGAGGGACCACATTTGAGGACACGATAAACGCTCCAATCTGAGACGGACTCCGGGCACCACACTACGCGGAGGGCAAGTCGTCTGCTTCATGCGCAGGAGTTGCGGTGATACTAGAAAGACGCCGAGCTCCGATTTGTTTTGATAATAAGAATACTAGGCAGACCTGAATGGTAGCTGCCTCGAGGTCTAACCACCATTTTTTCAGTCGGCCAACAAGAGCTCGGCGCTCCGACGTCGTTGCAACCCCTGCGCATGAAGCAGACGAACTTGCGCTCCGCATTACCGAAAATACACGCTTCGCATTACCTGAAGACGCTACCGAGTCCCTTGAGCAGCCCCTTCTTCCTCTGAACCGGTTTTGCAGTACCCTTCTTGTAGGCACCCACTTCCTGGGGGTCGAGCGTGGACGCCACGGCGTTGGGGTGACTCGGCACCCGATGCTCTGCGCTCGCCGAACTTCCCGTCTCGCTCTCTTTCTCTTCCTCCACTGTCGTCGGATAATGGTGAAAGAAAAGAGGAAGAAATATGCGTATGTAGGAGGATGATCTCCCAAAAGCATTTTAGTGTACAGTTCGGCACTGGCCAAGTAAGATGCCCGCTTTAGTTTGGCCAATGAAGGAATGCTAGTCGAGTGTTCACAAAAATTGGAATGCCAAAGTGGTGTAGTGTCCCAGCGTGGGACAACGGCATGAACGTCGTCATTGTAGGCTACCATCAGACAAAGGACCTTTTTTTGTTCGAGCCCAAGGGCCCAGGTGGAGAAGAAAGAGGAGAAAAGGTGGCATCTAGTGGCTGAGAAATAAATACAGGGTATTCCATGTAACTTGAGCCAAGGTTTTAAAATAATTTGGTGCATTCTAGGAAAACGAAATTAAACAAATACTAAGTTTGTTCACTGTTTGGAGCAACACACGCTATTTTTTTATTTTGCCCGATGAACTAATTAATTATAATTAATTAATGAACTTTTGAAATATTCATATTAGAGCAAAAGTTCCAATGACAAAGTTGAAGAGCAAAGCGCCCCAAAAGCGATCATCCAGCACTTTACAAGCGCATCATTTAGAGCTGGATCAGCTAACGGTAAGGCTCCGAGTGCAATTCAAACTCCAACTCACACATTGACACATTGTGTTGTTTATATTTGTTGACTAAAACCTATAGTGGTTAAGTGGGTTCGAACTCAGTCAAACTTTTGTTCAGAAGTTTGTCGAACTTTTGAACTCGGCAGGTTCGAAAGTTAGAAAAATCATTGAAGTTTTTAGCATAATAAGTTCGAAAATAAAAATTTCATTACACAAATATTCAAATCTTTGAAAACAATCAAATTTCTCAGCACCAAAAATTTAAGAAGTTTGAAAAATCGTAGCATTTTTATGCAATAAGTTGCGACGTTTCGAAACTCTGCAAACTTTTCAAACCCCTTGGTTTAATGTTCGAACCTCAGGTTCGCAAAATGTTTACAGCATCTCTAGTTATCACTAGTTTCCACATGCCGTTTTCACAAAACAAAATACACATAACTTCAGAAAGTGGCTGAGAAATAAATACTGGGTATTCCACGTGAGCCAAGGTTTAAAAATAATTTGGTGCATTTTAGGAAAACGAAATTAAACAAATACTAAGTTTATTCATTTTTTGGAGCAATACACGCTATTTTTTTTATTTACAATTTCTCAGAACAAAATAAAATTGCTTCTGGAACCGCTTCAACAGCTCGACGCTGGTTCACTCATTTGCGTTCGAGTGTAATCGGCTGCACAGCAACCACTTGCGGCCACCTACTATGACGAGAAAACACACTTGCGCCATTCATCAGGCAGGCCTGATAGCAGTATTTGCAATAGCAGTATTTGCAAGGTCAAATCAATGCACCATCTACGAGAAATGGTCGCTCATGCCGGAACTATTTTGAGCCCACAGCGAGGGAATGGCGCACAAAAAATGAAGACACATGAAGTTGTCACGAGCGGCTGGAATGCATTCATATATGCCCGGGCGTAAGTGCGCGAACCGTCCCCGTCTTGCGATCCGGCTCGACACTTACGGGTCTCCATCTGATCCGCGGTCGGCGGAGCTGTTGGCGGACCCTCGTAGGAACGGTCGACGGCGGCACGGAAGCTCTCGTTGCAACCCCTGGCTCCCCTCTCCTGCCTTCCGCCGTTGCCGCCGCTGCCGGGCCCGTCGCCGGCCCCCTGCACTAGCGTCTGGAGGCTCTCAAGGCTGCTCGACTTGCGCATGCCGAGCGAGGGCCCCAGCTGGGTGGTGCCGTTGCCCGTGTTGTTGCCGCTGCTGTTGTTGCTCTTGGTCACCGTCGTGTTGTACGTGGCGCAGCTGGCGTCGGTGCTCGGAGAGTCGCCATTCATCATGACTGCAGAGGGCGACGAGAATGAAAGGCATAAGCCACTTGGCGCACTTCATTTGGCCTTCTTGCCTGTGTTTTCCTAGAGTTTTGGACTCAGAAAAAGGTGCAAGAAAGTAAAAGAAAACCTTGCTTCCTAACCTCTACCATGTGGATGCACATTTGAAACCAGAAAAGGCTACTGAACACTGATGGAACGTGCTAAGGAAGCTGATGCTCACGAATGAACTTACGGGACAGTCTAAATAACGGTAGATGTCATTTTGAAAGAAGGCAGTTTCTGCTTCCGGTAAAGCAAAGTCACCCTGGCAAAACTTAGAAGTCATCTTACAAACCTCCTCTTTTCTTCATCACGATGCAGGGTCACAACATACAATGTATACTTCACATCCCAAGTTGTGTGAAATGGTGGTATTAAAAGCACACTCAAATGAGCGCCACTCTGCAAAAAAGGTTTGTTTTTACGAGACTTCAGATCCGGGTCTCCTAAAACACTTTGAATGCAGTTACTTATGTTTTGTTTAACATGAAATAAAAACTTTGAACAGAGACTTGTGCAGATAAGCTTTTGAAACAGTATGCAGTAGGCTCGCAATAATTCAAACTTCCAGTTAATTCAAACCAATTTCAAAATTTGTGTCATCCCGCCATGTCTTCAATGTATTTATAGGCCGCTTAAAAGGCATTTTCGTGTAATTCAAACTTTTTGTTCTCACGGCCCTGTTGAGCTCGCTTCTTACCAAACACCGGCGCACTGCGAAGAAGCAACACCCACGACTTCTGCGAATGTTGCTTCTTTGCAGTGTGCTGGTGCTCGGTAAGAAATGTGCTCAACAGGGTTGAGCACATTTCTTAGACAACTTTTTTGCTGAATGAACAAACTTAATTTGACTTTGAGGTATCATGTGCTGTCTTAACAGTTCACGATAGACAACATTTTTGAGGGATGAATAAAGTTTTTTCATAGATTTCCCCAATGTTTCATGTGTGGCATACCTGTTCTTGATTAGTAGGCCTATGTAGAGGAAATCAAAATTTATGCTTTGTATGTGTAGCCATTCATATAACAAATAATTTTATCTTGCATAATATTTAGACGAATTTCTGATAATTCAAGCTTCTGGAAATTCAAGCACAATCCTTGGCTTCCTGGAGTTTGAATTAATCAGTCTGCTGTATTCTCTCAATTCAGATTACTAAAAGACACTACTGTACAAAACAGATATAATATTTAGGCATTTACACGGCATCATACAAACAAGAACTACTATTATAGTTGCAAATTCCTAAAACACTAATGGAAGACACAAACAAAAGGTGAAAAAGTGAGCATACAATCAGCACAAAAAGCTGCAGCATGTGCATTCAACCAACGCAAAACCTAAGAGAAAAACCAAAGCGCGTTTCTTTGAAGGACCAACCACCAATGAGAAACAGAAAAGAAAAATAGTAGTATATGCATCCGCAGCAGACAAGTGTGCTCCAAGTTGCATAGGAAATGTTTAACGCATTCTGCCATACCCACAACTTGAGTGACTATTAAACCCACACCAAGTTTGCACGGCACTCGGGTTGCCTCATGCATCACACCGTGCACGTGATTGTGAGGTAGTGCAATAGGGAGAAAAGTGTGGCACGCTCAAAAGGGGAAAGAGTATGTGCACATGTGCGGACGTGAAAGAGACAATGCCGAGAAGGCTAACTAAAGGCTACCTACAGCAGCAAGTTGGATAGAAGAACAAGGGATTCCTATGCACCTTGCTCACTTGCTGACATTTGACTAGATCTGTTGAGAGACCACACATGAAACACACACCCGCATTAGACAAGACCCAGATTAAACCAAAAGCGAAAAGAAAAAGAGAGAAAAAAAAAAAAAGTAAAATACGAGGAAACACGAAGCAAGACAGAAAGCCAACTGCCCAAGGTAAGGTCACCACCCTTTACCGAGTAGATTGGAATTAATGCTTTGCAGATTGATGCAGTATGTAGTATGTTACTCTTAGCAAATTGTGCCACAGTCATGTAATCTAGTATTCTGCTCCTTTGACCAGGGTCATGAACTTAACTTTTAGTTGCTACCTGTGGAGGCATTCTTTAGTAGTTTGCTGCGGGGGCTATGAAATAAATTCGAGCCAGATTTGTTTCTGCAATTGCCAAACTCGCAAAAAAATCCTGCTCGTACCTTTGAACAAAATCTTGCATGTACAGCTCTCAGAGGAATGGTAGCACTGACACATCATTTAGTTGCAAACTCTGCCTTTCTGCTTTGAAAAAACAGCAACAACAAATCTACCATGATTACTTGAAACCCTTCCGCAGGAATATGTGCACACAATTTTATCACAATTGTTAAAAAGGCTTGGTGAAAGTAGAGGAGGTTTAGGGCTACAAAGGGGAATTTTAAGCTCTTTCTAGGTGACAGAATATAAAACATCATGTTCTCACTTCACGTTATCCGCTGCCTCTACCAACGCAACCTTGATCGACACAACACGACCTTGACGTTGCTTGAGAACAATTTCCGAAGGTTAGGGACAGAAGATTCACGAATGAGGACTGCAGATGTTTGTGCTAGCGTACGTACGAAGCCCCAAACGGAGAATTGGATCAAAGTGCACGACCACTTACAACCGGATTCTGTCGGCCCCTGTGGCCTGGAATGACCAAGGAGAGAGTCCGCAGAATTGGACCGGACGAGATTGCTGCTCTGCTGCTCTTTCCCATTTAATGCTAAAAAAGAAAAGCACCTCTTAAGAAAAAAACAGTCACTGGATTCACCGAATGTTGTTGGCAATAGGTCCACCAGTGACTGACCAAGCGAAATATATTGAAGAAAAATATAAAGGCTATCTCTCTAGTATGTAAGCTACTATTTTATTTTTGTGTACATGAAGATTCAATGAGAGAATAATCAACTTTAGTAGCTGTGCCTTTATGAGCAGCATCTAACAAAAACATCTTTTATTTTGGTGTTGCAAGCTTTTGCAACCTGGAATTTAAATCATATTTTGAAACGTCTCTTGCATAGCAATTGGAAGCGAGCCGGGACCAATGATGCCGTACCACATGTGAAGCGTAGCAGTCTTGCAGTGCTAGCAGCATTAACATAATGCATCTAATGTAAGCCAGTACTGTATAACATCAAAAAAACTAAAATGGCTCAAATTGCATGCTGTCTATGCTGTTGAACAAGAGCAGACGAAAGCAAAGGAGTAACAAAATTAAGTAGACTTGAATGATAATAAAGAAAACCCACAAAGCGGAGGCATACAAGGGCCAACACAACATGTATCAAGAAAAGATGTTGTGCAAGTGTGTGCTGACCTTGTATGTCCACAGTCTCCGGGTTTTGTTTACGCTTTAACTGCGTTAGTCGGTAAATGCCTGTACTTTCTGTAATATTGACTTATTTCAACATCAATTTATAAAATAAGCTTCCAAATCTGTTTCTCTCTGGACTACCTGACACTATATAATTGCCTAATCAGGCCTTTAAGAGAAAGTCCTGCCCTTTAATGTAAAACAACAGATTCTTACATTGGGCATCGCAATTTGTAGGGGCAAAAGAATGAACTTCGAAGTCATATTAAAAATATCTTTTGGGAATTACACCTTGTTTTTCCTTTATGCTAGACACTGGTGTCTTCAGTTAAAAGATCCATTTTGCATTCCTTGTAAGTCTGCTGCTGAGGGGCCACACTGCATTTTCAAATATCCTTGACCTCAATTCAGGTGTCACAACAAGTGTTTCTATAGACTTCTTTACACGCCAGGAAACTAGACAGGCAGGGAAAGAAATTTCGAGTTCATATAAGAAGACACATCCCCAAAATCACTTTTCAAGCCAAGGGCTGCTTCTAACTTAGCACCTGGCATCTAAGAAGAGGCAGTTGCAAAGCGAAAGCATGAATGAACTGGGGAAAGCAAAGGCTACCAAAAGAATAAACAGAAGCGAAAAACAGTCAATAGGCACCCATGCAAACTGACCATTGGGTCTCCTATTGTTGGGTGGTGCATCATAATGATGAGGGCCTCCGTTGAGCGTAGGAGGCGATACGGACGTCTTGACCTCAGTCTGCTGCTGCTCTGGCCGAGTAAACGATGTGACCTTCTCCTGTTCCTCGCGAGACTTCTTGTTGCGTTTGTAAGTGTCCGTGTTGCGAGCATCCAGATGGGCGTGGCGCTTCTCCGAGATGCTCTGCCGCCCGAAGCCGTCCCGGCAGAAGTTGCCTCCATCCACAAGCGACAGCCTGCATTGGAATGACAATCTGTTGTGTGGCCATCCGCGACCCCGATGCCTTGCATTTTTCCTTTGCTAAAAACTGCCCTTTCGTAGCAACATATATACTATTGGACACAAATGAAATGCGAACAGCAGTGCTGCGCTACCGCGGAGCCTCAGGGATCCGAAAGAACCGTGGACTGGAAAGGAATGCACGTCAAAGTAGGTGCTTGTCTTGCAATTTTCCTCTCCACTCCGCAGTTTTATCAGTTCCTAGGAGTCTCCAGGTAGTGCAACACCTATCGAAGGACATGCGCTTTGCCGTTCGCGTCTCGTTTGTGCCAAATTTTAGAACTCTCAAAAATGTTTTAAGATACATATCGCGACACTGTTAGCACCGAACACGACGTCGGCGCATTTTCACATTTTACTTCTAACTAGTATTAGCGAGCACGAAATGTTTTCACTTACATGATAAAACTAAATGAGCTCTTTTCGCAGCAATACAGTATAGACCACTTACAACGTAACCGCTTATAGTGCAGGACCGGGTATAACGCGGTTTTTTTAAACCACCGGTTCGCCTCCCATAGAACTCCATGTAATTGCATACCGCTTAAAATGCAGGCGCGCGATGGGAAATACCGGTTATAGTGCGGTTTCTAACACAGCCCGCCGACCGCGCCGAGGACCGGAGCAGCGAGCACGCTTCCCTGTGTGACACCAGATAACGGCGCTGACGGCGCGAGACGAGCCGCAAGTCAAGTCCGCAAGCGGCACACGCGGGGCAAGGAGGTTGCTGGAAGAAGCGGGGGAAGCGAAGAGAGAAACTTCAGTTGCCATAGCGACGGAGGGACGCACGCACGTATCGTTCACGTGCGTGCGTCCCTCCGCTGCGTTGGTCGAGAAGTGTTCGCGCGCGTTGCATGCCGGTCGCGCAGCCAGCGCAGCTGCTTCTATCCGCGAACATGGCGTCGGTTGTGATCGTCGATGTAGACGGCGTTCATCTCATCGCGTAAAAGCGCTATCCTTGACTGTGAATTTTCGTTGTGTGTCGCTATGATAACCCAGCACGTACTAGACGGGAACATCCACCTACTTGTGTGACGATGTCGTGCGGCGCTCTCAAGACAGCAGAAACGCCCGTGTCGTCGTGTTTGTTTACTTCGACTACAGTGGTGCTTTCTAAGCATTTGTGTCCTCGAACATCGCCCGGATTTCTTATTTGGCGCATTTCATGCGTGTGCTCAAGTTAAAGATATTACTGGCGCGTACCGTATGAAGGATGCGAATTTTCACGCGTTTTCGTCTCCGGAGAAAAGTGATTAGGGTTAGCAATCCTGAACGCTCGCTACGTTCGTCCGCAACCAGCGACGCCGTTAAAAGGCTGCGCCAGGCAAAAACCGCTCATTTCTTTCAAAATGTGTGACACACTTGAGACAGAACTGTACTAGTCTGGTGAAATAAAGACTCTCCTCTAAGTGAGCTTTATTTTTCATCTAGCATAAAATAAATTCTTTTACAAAGGTAAGTTGTCTCATGACATGTATTTTGGCCTGAAAAATTGATGTTTTGGTTATAGCGCGGTACCGCTTATAGTGCGGACTTTCGCGACTCCCGCGACATACGTTATATGCGGTCTACACTGTAATAACTTAAATGACATCCCTTGCTTTCAAAGAGAAAAACTGGAAAAACCGGCGATCGCTTGTTTGCGCTAACAGTGTCGCACTCTGTACATGTTTAATTTATGAGCCTTTATTTCCCCATTAGCAGCAAAATTTCTAAAAAACTAAGAGAAGTTATTTTAAGTCGATACACATCTCATTTTCTGCAAGACTGTTCCAAGCACCGGAAAAATTGAAATATGACTAGCTACAACGAAGAGCAAAACTACGGCTTGCGTGCTTAAATGATGCAGACTGGTCGCTCACTCTACATTGGTTTTTGTTCCAGACATCCATATATCAAAGTTGGGCAAACACTGCTTTATAGATGGTAATGTACTGGCACTTGGACTACTATAGTCACGGACAGGAAGAGAATGGCAGGGAGGACTTTCAGTTGTCCTGCCCCCAGCACTTGCTTCTTGCCCTCCCAGTTGGGAGTTTTAGTAGATCTCCGATAATGACACAGTGCATGTGCAAAGGTGCCAGTGGAGTGTCGGATACTATTATTGGAGTTATCAAAACGACCTGCTCATTCTCTCGAAGAACATTTTGGAGTCTGGTGAGCTTCGGGCATGCAGACGCGCCTAAAGAATGGTGAAGGGCAACGAGGGTGGTTTGGGAGCCCGGACATCCGAAAGGGACGCCCTGCCGTTTTGATCTTGTCGGTGACTGTGGCCCACATCATCTTCTATCCCTACAGCAAAAGAAAACAAAGACACTCACTCGCTCTGATTGAGGTCGTTGCTCTCCTGAAGCAGACGCATCAGCTGCGGCTCTTCCTCCTGGACGGGTGTCATGGGAGGCGCCGCATCCCCGCCCACCCTCGCGATGGACGGGTAGTCGTCGTCGATGTGGACGGCCTCTCCCGAGCCCCGTGTCACGTTGGGAGAAAGTGGGGCTGGTCTCGGGTGCGGGCCGGCCGCATGGTGGCGCCCCGTCTGCCGGTCCGCCATCCAGCTCTCGTGGCTGGCACGCAGGTACGACTCGTTGCGTAGGCTGCCAGGGAGGGTGCCCGGACCCTGGCCCATCAACCGGTCCAGCACGGGGTTCCTGCCGTAGCCATCTGCGAAACGACGTGCGGCCACTTTGAGTATAAAGACGGCACCTACCGCAATTGCATTTTGAGACCCCCCCATCTAATACTGAGCGGAACGCACGGCCCCACGGATGTCTGTAGGAGATTCGTGGGACGTCGTCCCAAAGACGTCCAAAGAACTGTAGGCCCTGTCGTGTACTACCTTGCAAAAGCAATGAAACCTAAGACGACCAGGTACCAGCCTCGTTGCGGACTCTAATCAATTTAAACTCATGTTCAGAGTTCTTACCTGTTCGTACAAGTTTTGACTGATTGGTGGCCTTCAACTACGAAGAGGGAGGGGTGCCACAGTAATCAAGCTCATGCTTTTCGTTTTCTTTGTTCTTTTAGGGGGCTAAATTAAACTGTGATCGCCTGAAGCAAGAAGTTGAGCCACTACAATCCAATCTAATTCGAACACCTAGCACTCACAGTCGTGCGTCTGTATCGGAAACTGCTGCTGCTGCTGCTTCGACGGAAGATAGACGACAGTGTTCTCGGAGTTCCCGCTGGTGGAGTGGTCGGGGGTGCGCCCATTGCCGCTACCGCCGGACACGGAGAGGTTCTCGCATGACGAGGAGGCGGCGTTGGAGTCCGAGCTGAGTAAGGAGTCCGAACGGAGGTGCACCGAGAAGGAGTCTCCGCTCGACAGGAAGCCCTCTTCGAACCTGCAGAGCAGCAACAACATTCAATGTAAAACACAATGGTTTGAAAATAAAACAATAACAAGGTCAAAACAAACCACCAACGACATAACGGTACCCGCGACCGCCACTTTCACTTACGTCATTTTCCAGCCCCAAGTATCGGGCCCCACAATGTGGCAAATTGTTCGAACCCCCATCTCCCATCTTGATTCTAACTGTAACTGTGTTATGCATTTGTTTGCGGGATGTAAGTCAGCAATGGTGGATGTCTGCTGTCCCCACTGTAGGCTGAAAATTTAGCCAGTACAGTACTACTGCTAGCCAAGAACATTTAATGTGCATCACGCAGTAGCGATACACAATTGCCTGCCGGTACGATTCTCGACCAGATCTAAACAAGCAGGGTGGTGATTGAACCCAGGATCCCCGAGTTCTGCAGTGCAAGTTTTTGCTTTACGTGCTCCGAGCTGCGGCGCATTAACATACCCAGTCAATGACTCCTCCATCTTGGTTCTCGAGATAAAGATTTCCTTAATGCTCGCGGGGACCATCGAGTCTTCTACGCACCTGAGATTCTCGGCGACGTCCTGGGAGGGAACGCGGCGAGCCACGGTGAGCGTGATGGCGTTGGGGTTGGGGCCTTCTCCCTGAGTCATGGCCCTGCGCAGGGTCTCCATGGCATGGCTGTTGGTCACGCCCAGCAGTGAGGTGCCGTTGATGTTCAGCAGCTGGTCGTTGGTCCGTAAGCGCCCGTCCTGAGGGAGAAAGAAGCTTGCTCAGAGACGAGTTGGCTTCTCATCGTCCGTTTTAGCGCAGAGTCTGTGATAGTATTCAGTTTTCATGAGGAAAGCGACATGTTATGCTCAAGTGTTGCACTCAAATGACGCGCGGGTCATTGTCGTATAAGCAGTATAGCCCCAGGGGCTAGAGTGCTTATATATGACCTTGATGTCAGGGTATCACGCAATGCTGCTACGTCATGTGACTGTACCGCCGCAATGTCACGTGACGTCACAAGGTCATGTGACATAGTTACATCGTGCAACACCTTGCTCTCACATGATGTCACAAAGTCACGTTACTTCTAGAGGTCACACATACACGCAGCACGTGCCCAGCTCATGCACGACAGATTTTAGGCGTTTCCAATTTGATCAGATACGGTCGTGACATGATTAAATATTTAAGAACCGCGTGCGACTAGAATTGCTTGCAGTCACACATCATCCAACAATTATCGACGAGGTATCTTTCCTAGATGTCTCAATGTGCAACCAGATTTCTTTGCAGGATTTACTATTATTATATATATTCTTTTAACGCAACAAACAAAATGTAGCGCGTACCACTAAAACTGAATATCTGACGTGGCCGTCCAGCATATAATGAGTGTGTTTCCCACTTTTCTTGCTGTCATGCGTGGATGACATGATCGGTACATTCTGTAATTAATTTGTAGGGTAAAAAACAATCCGTTGAAATTAGAACAATCAGATGGTACTACCGCCTAAGAAATCTGGCATTTGTTGCAAATGCAAAATAAAAATATTAAACCGACTTTAGTGCTTCTGTAAGATCAATGCAGGTTGTTGTATAAATAGGCAAAAATAAGTCGATGACCCGTGATTGATGGGTGCAAAGGCAATTTTGAAAGCTCCTGCAGAGATCTCACGCTTGCTGTGCCACCTTGTGGGTAGTTTGAAGACTAAAGTTCTGGTTTCTGCGTATTTCTTGCTCTTTTCACGTGTCAGCAATTTTTAAGCCCAGAGTGAAACCGACAGCACGTCCTCGTTTATTACAACCGTAGCCGCTTCCACGGTGCCGACACGCACTAGCAAGCGCGGCGATTCTTGAGAATCTCGTCAATTTTTCGAACTCGGGTAGCAGCGGTGGGTCTGATGGTAGAACCACATCATCATGATTCAGTTCTGATGACCCTTGCTTCACCCCATTGAGAAACTGCTTAACCCAAAAGCATGTCAGTCATGGGGGCAAACTTTAGCTAGAACTCTAGTTTTCGTGGAGCTTTTTTGTGTGAAAATGGGGAACATTTCATATATTTCCAATTTCTTGGCACTTCTTTTTCTTTTTTTTTTAAGACTTAGCCATACTTTTACCCAGGTTAGACCAATATTTGGAAAACAATTGGGTTCAATGAATGACAATATCGTGCAAGAATGCGAGCCTCTGCTTTGATGTTTGCATCATTTAAAAGCCCATCATATATCCAGCTTCAATTCTAAGTATGGCATCCTATTGTAAACCTAACAGCATCCTCAGGAAAACAAATTGAGCAAAGAGTCACACATAACAGCCATTTTCCCCATGGTCAGGAAGGAGTTGGAGAATTTTTTAATGTGTCCGAAAGTATCTTGGCTGCGATTGCAACTGACAGATATGCACCGTTCCCCCTTACAACGAACCGCAGAAAACACTGTGTGCTGTCGGAGCCAGTCCAATGCCGCGTCTGTGTTGCGTGACGCTCGGGGCGTGTAGTCGCGCAACACGTTCGCACTACCGGATTGACTGGGACGGCTCGTAGCATCTGCCACAGTCTATCACAAGATGGAACGGAATACGGGCATCTGACGTTCCTCGGGCGCAACGCGATCAGGCACCCACCTTTGAGGCAGCACCCCCGTGGATGACGGACTTGACGAAGATGCCGAGGTCGACGGGTCCGCTGGGACCCGTGGACGTCTTGCCTTTAACGCTGACCCCGAGGCCAGCAGAGCCCGTGTCGTTGAGAGGAATGTCTAGCGTCACTATCTCCTTTTGGCGCCAGGGGAAGATGCCTACCTCGTCCCCCGCCTTTTCGGGGGGCTGCAGTGGAAAAGAAGACGTAGAAAGGATGCTTGTTGACACCACAGCAATCTATGCCGTAAAATACCAAGCAAGCACCCGCATAAAAAGTTGGATATAATAAAGAAAAAATGGGGATGGGGTGCTTGTTAGGCCAGAAAGCAGAAAAGCGGAAGGGGCACGCGGCAGGGTAGGCCCTCGTTTGTTCAGGCGGAATGGTGAAGGAGCGATACAGGCTTGGCATAAGCCGTAATTTTTTAAGCCGCCGCACGAATCTCGTTGGGCCCGCTTTATGCTGGCGCTCTCGCGTCCTTTGCGTCGGTGATCTCGCATCTAGCTTTGCAGCCCCACACCAATGTACACGTGTAAATTAGTAAACGTGCAAAAAAGAGAGACACCCGTGAAACGCCCGCTAGCGCCAACAGTGTTGTGCCACGCCCTCACACCACTTTGCACTGGATTGTTCTGGCTACATCTTGGGAGAATGGTCAATGCAATCGAATAAATTAGCTTCGAGGAACTCTGTACTCAACAGAAATTAGTACTATTGCGGTGACTATTATCGAGAAAGTCTGTGCCAACAACTGACCAGTTCCCTGGGTAGACCGGGACTGGGAGAAGGATCGGGCTCCTGTCTAGAGACTACCAGCTCCACCGTGCTGCCGGGCGGGGCATTCCGCAAGATGGCCACTGCTTCCGTCTGCGTCCTGCCCGTCATCTCGATCCCGTTCACCTGTTGAAAGAATTTGATTATATTCGCTACTCAACAAATAAAAAAGACTCCAAGACATTTGCGCTAGTACGGTTTTATGGTGGTAGAAAGTGTAGTATAGTGATATTGATGCTGCCAAAATGGCATCGCAGAAATCGGTACATACGTATGTCTCTCGGAAAAGGAGCATCCTCGTGAAAATGTAAATGGGTTTATGTCTGCTTGTCGCATGATGTACCGTATTTGCTCAGAAGTAATTTAACCTTTCATAGAAACAGATCCTGCTGTTTGCGTCCTTGCATGGCAAGCAGAGTACTACCAATAAGAATTGCAAAATAAGCTACTTTTGCATGAAATTTGGGGATACTATAACTTCAATCAGAACAACAATGACAATCTGGGGGGCTCAATGAAGCCTTATGGAATATTGTTACCAGAAGTAGTTGAACCTTTCTCTCCTTTCCAACTGCAAGTTAGTTTTTAATACTCTCAAAGCCCGGAAGCTTAAGGGGGGACCACTTCGCATCAGAAAAGAATTTCCACAAAAAAAGTTGATTTAAAAACAAATGCTACGTTTACATCCACCAACTTCTAGAGAGTATTCCCAGAAAGTTTCATTTGTCTACATTGCATAGCCCTTTTTTTTATTAATTATTTTCACTCCACCGATGCTAAGGAAAAGGTAGAGGTTCAAGCGCTTTCAACCCATTTTTCTTCATTCCACTTTCTGACGTAAATTTCACTTTAGGAAAACTATCATTTGGTAACAGGACAAAAGGAGGGCTCTCTCCTTTTCTTTCTTGTTTGGAATTTAATGGGCAGTGTAACTGTACCATTTTTTTTTTTTTACTTTGTGGATGTTTTTTATAAAACAGTTAAGATTTTGTTCACGAAATTAAAGGCAAAAACATTATTTCATTCTTCAATGCAATGTTAGCATAAACCAAGTTCATTTCTGGAAATTTTGTTTTCACAGTTGCACTCTCCAGGCATTCTGCTACATATCTCGTGAAGAAAAATGTTGGTTATAATATTAGTTTTTTAACACTTGGTTTCTTAAACAATGTCAGTGTGTTCCTGATAAAAACAACTATAATTTCTTTCACAATTCATGTACACAGATAAAACTTTGCACTGCATTCTGTCTCGCAACTCCCAGTATTTACTGTAAATTTCATTCACGTTAAGCCAGAGGCTCAAAAGTTGATCCTTTTGGGAAGTGTCCTCCCTCAAAGAAGTCTCTGGGCCATGAGGGTAGGAAAATAAATAAATAAATAAATAAATATGAAAATCAATGGTCTCTCTAACCTTGGAGCATTCTCTCTGCTCAATGAAAAGGGAGTGCTACATTCTTTGTACCTTTTAGAAGCAATGCATGCAAGTCCGCTCCTTGGAGCACACAGCCCTGTGCTGAGAAGCTGCGCAAAGTGGATGATGGAGTTAGGTATACAACAAAAAAATAGCCTGGGCTATTTGTGCTCCAAAAAATATATATACCTGTCCGCAGACTATTAATGCAGACTCAATCACGGACATTTATTGCAACATCAATGTGGACATTGCAAGCAGACATTAAACACAGATATCGAACATGGACGTTAATCAGACACTGCATGTGGACACTGAATGCAGACATAAAATGTGGACATCTGACAAATACACTGAACTTCACATCGTACATGCACATCCATACCGGACATAGAACGCGAATATCGAACATACATATCGAATAAAAACACTGAATGAGGCCAACGAACACAAACACTGAATGAGGCCAACGAACACAAACATTGAATGTGGACAACAAACACAGATATAGAACGCAGAGACGGGTGCATACCTCCAGGAGCCGGTCACCCGGCCTGAGCCGTCCGTCGTCGATGGCCGCCCCCTTGGGCAAGATGTTCTTGATGTAGATGGGGCAGTTCCCTCCGGCCGGGTTGTCTCTCGTGGTGACGCTGAAGCCCAGCCCCTGGGGGCCCTTGACCAGCTTCATGTGCACCTTGCGCCCCATCTTGCGCGTGTTGGCCACGCTCAGGCAAGTGGACGCGGCCGCCCGGCCGTTTGGAGTGGCCGCCGGGGGAGGAGGGGGAGGCGGGGCAGGCGGGGGAGGGGGAAGCTTCTTGGTGGGCGTCACCGTGGCCACCTTGCTGTTCAGCCCCGCTGGAAGCCGAGGAAAGGAACACCCTTCACCCGAAGCCATTCCACAAGCAAAGCTACCTGAGTAAAGTTTTATGCGGACTATAGAGGGTCTGTGTTACTCTGTTTGACCTTCCACTGTACCGCAACGAAATGCTATGACCCGTTGCAGCACTGTAAAAAATGCTATATGCTACCAAAAAGAAAAAAGAAAAAAGTCTAAACAGCCAGCTTCGTGTTGCCACTTGTCAACATGCTCCTGTACCAGTGATATCTTTTTCAGAAACTGGCACATGAATGTCCTTAACAGTTCGACTATTTCCATAGCAGGTTGTGGATGGTCAAAAAGTGAACGACTTAGAAGTAGCCATACTGAAACTAGGATACTAATGCAGAACTAGAAGATTTACGTTTGGTCAGCTCAGGCCTAGGAAAGGTACTCAGACTGCCCTGGCAAAGGAGTAATTGCTCAGCGCTTAACAGCTGCAAAGGTGCACTGAAGTGTTTTTATAAATCATCTTCTTATGGTGCAAACCAACCTATGTGTACTAGGGATGTCGCGAACCACCCTAGGTTCGATTTCGAAAGGTTTCGATATTTGCGAAGCGAACTAAGGTTCGATTTCGAAAAATTCGATATTTTTGTACCGACCGAGGTTCGATTTCGAAAAATTCGCAACTTTTGACCACAGCGGAGTTTCGAATTCGAACATTTCGAAGCTTTCACGGTTTCTAAAATTTCGAATTCGAATATTTCGAATATTTTTTGACTTCAGGTTCGATAAATTCGAAGATTTCGAAATTCTTTGTAAAAAAAATTCGAAAACTTCGAACGCTTCGAATTTTTATAGACATGAAGTTCGAACAATTCGAAGGTTTCGAATTTCTTTTTGCATAAAGTTCGAAAAGTTCGAAGGTTTCGATTCTCTTTTAACGCTATATTAAAAAAAAAAACTTCGAAGATTTTGAATTTCTTTCTAATCCAAGTTTTCAAAATTCGAAGTCCGATTTTCAAGTTTTTCCACAGTTTCAGTTTCAAATAACGTTTTCACGACTCACTGGTTTTCACAAAATCAAGTTTAGAAAAGTTAGGATGTGATATCTAGATTCTGCGCTAGATTCTGCGAAGTTGGTCAGGCAATTAAATGAGACGACGAGTGTCTCGGACGTGCTAGAATATTTGCCAGTGCAGAATTGTGACCGCCAGCCCCGGGGGGGGGGGGGGGGGGGGGGGGGGTTCTTTAACCTGCTTCATGCAGTAGTGATTGCACGAACACACTGTTTTACGAGACTCATATAGTTCGAAACGGCCAGGGGCGAGCAGTAGGTTGAGGCTCAGAAAAACCTTGAAGCGACCTGGCAAACTAGCTCGCCACCCCTTGCACGCTTGTAGTAATCCGATCCGGTGAAGTTTATAATTGTCCTGGAGGTTTATTTTCTGGGGCGGAGGAATCGCCTCGAAAAAAGACGCTCCTCGACCTGGAAACAACTCCAGGTCGAGGAGCGTTCTACCATACAAGTGGCGTCGGAAGAGGAAAAACGGGGGGAAAGAATGTAGCGGGGGGGGGGGGCTTCAGCTTCCTTTTCTTCCTTGCAGGTATTTCGGACTGTTAAAGAAAACAATACGGGGAAAGAGGGCGTGGTCGAGCTTATTTTAATCTGAAATTATTTATGCATATGTATAGCTACTGTCGCTCTTCACTGCATAAAAGGTTGCGTAGATGGTCATTGTTAGAAACTCGTTGTCAGAAGGCACTGCTCGTCACATGCTTAGTGGTTCGGAAGTTCAAAGCTGTCTTTTCGACCTAAACACCTGTGCCAATAGTAACAAAAAAAAAAAAAAAAAGAATAAATGCGGGAATGAAAAGCAGGAGGAAAAAAAAAACTATCAAGAATTCGTCGGAAGTGTTCTATTCTTGCATATTCAGAGGTTCAGAACTTCGAAACAAGTTTCTTTTACCAAAATGTGTACAGGCTAAAAGAAACACGTCCCAGGAACGTGAAGCGAAAAAAAAAAAAAAGTTTTCTTTTAATGACGTGCTGAACTTGAACACTATTAGAAATCTTCTCCCATGAGTTAATTTATTCCTTAACGTGAAAAAACAATAAATATATTATTTTGTATTCTGCAGATGGCAATTATATGTACTGTCTGTGGTGTTAATTTAAATGCGATACCTCAAACAACTTAGACGAAAATAAATATCAAGTTTAGGTCATAATTGCATGCAGATACATGTTTGGACATTTCTTCGAAACTCACGTTGAATAACAATAATCACACCTTAAGACGGCACTTACCTAGGCTATACATAGATCATTCCTAAAAAAGTATAACATATCTACCATAAATAGCTCCGGCTGCAGCGTGCTTCAAATCTGGCACAAACGATAATCGTCAAAAAGCCGTCGTCCTTCCTCGCCCCTTCGGGGATTTATTTCTTTAAACCTAAGCATGCCAGAACATTGAAATAAACGACATTGTCTTTCGTAAGGAACGCAGCACCGCGTGTAAAAGTTCGAGAAAAAAAAATTACGAATGTACCCCACTAGAAATCAAATGAAACCGTCCGCCGGTCTTTCGAAGTTCGACGAACGTCGAACTTTTACCCTAAAAGTTCGAAGTTCGTCGAACTTCTGACTTTTCAGAATTCGAAAGTTCGAAACTTTTCGAATTCTCTTGATAAATAAGTTCGAAAGTTCGAAATTCATCGAATTTTTTGGTCAGTCAAGTTCGAAAGTTCGACAAGCATCGAACCTTGCAGCGCAATAAGTTCGAAAGTTCGAAAAAGATCGAATTTTTTAGCGTAATAAGTTCGACGATTCGAAAAGTGTCGAACTTCTTAGCTTAACAAGTTCGAAAATTCGACCTCCGTCGAATTTTACGATATAGACAATTCGAAAAATCGAAATCTTTCGAACCTTTCGAACCGCTTGATTCGATCATCGAAACTTCGATTCGAAAAAAGTTCGCGGCATCCCTAATGTGTACCAAGTGCCCCAGAAAACCCAGAATCACAATCGTGCGTGTCCTTTCCTTTATAGAAAATGCGACTAAACATGGCGACACAGCCCTTTTTGTTAGATAAATCTCAGAAAAAGGAGGAGTCACTATGTTTGGATTCGCTTTTAATAAAAAAGAAAAGACCATACACAACTGTAATTTTCGGTTTCCTGGGGCACTTAAGGCAAATGGACATGTTGACACGTTTGAATAGATTTTTTTATTAAAAAAGAAAAAGCTACACATCACTGTAAATTTTGGTTTTCTAGGATGCTTAGGAAGTGTAAGTTAAGTTTGCACCATAAAAAAAACTATTTCAGAATCCACTTTAGAGCCCCTTTAGGTTTAGGAGGGCACTTCAGCACAAACCTAATGCGACCGAGGACACTCACCTCTTTCTTCTCCCTCCACGAGCCCGTTTGTGGAGGCCACGGTGCCGTTGTGCATCCCGTCGGCTTCTGCCGTCTTCCGGCACGCCGGCGGGGGTGGCCTCCTGGGCGGGCTCCGGCAGGGGATGGGAGACCCTCCCAGCCTTCCTCCCGGTGGGAGGGGAGGGGGGGGACGTGGGGAGGGGAGGAGGAGGGGACGGACAGGGCCCGGAGGGGGACGCCAGCCGTGGCCGTCTTCGCCGCGAGAGGTGCAGGCACACCTCCGGAGCCCTGAGTGCCTCCTGCGGAAAAAAAAAAAGGGTCAGTCCCACGTGGATTTACGGTGCAGACACGGCTATGGTAGCTGCAACATCCTCATCGAACCCTTGAGCCTTATGTGGAGAAACTGCCTTGAACGGCCGGTTCAAGACGCGTTCCAGGTGCCGTATCGTCTCCAATGTTTGCTCGAGAAGTAACACACTAGTTTATTTTATACGCACAGAAGCCCTACGACAGACAACGCCGCACGAGACGTGAGTGGTGCGATGCAACGTCGCCGCAGCTGGGTCCACCTTGCCGGCGTGGCACAATGCTTGCACGCTCAACCGTCGTCAACGGTTGCGCTTTATTAGGCGCTGCATCGAAGCAGCTGGCGTGGCTCTGTGGTGGCGCGCTCCCTTCGCGACTGGCGGACCCGGGGATCGAATCCTGAGGAGACCGCGGCTGGTTTGGGAGATTTTCTTTTTCGAGCATTCGGCGACATTGGCAGTGGACGCCCTACAACTACAGCAACCACATCGTTTTGAGTGGGGTGAAGAGCCCTTGACAACAACCTAGCTGCACGTCGAATCTGTGAAGTTCAGACGCTGTAATAGGTTTCCGTGTTTTTGGTACATGCCAGAAAACCCCAAAATTAACCCTCGACCGGTTTTATCGAAATCGAAAGAAATCCGAAAAACCACTGAATCAAAGCTTTCCCTAAATAAAAAAAAAAAAAAAAAAAAAAAGAAACGCAAGCTTTGTGGAAAGAAATCTTTAACTACAGCTTTATTTTGTCTTGACTTGGAGCACGACCAGCACCAAGCTGTCCGAGAAGCAGCGACTTTCTCCGGGAACCCCCCTCCCCTTATCTCGTTTCCTTGTAAGAACGGTGGCGGGACGTTTTCCAACAATCTGGGTCATGCACAGGTTCCGTGGAGGTTAGAAAATCCCACGATTTTGTCCTGTTTACTAAATGTATGCCCCAATAAGGGCAGATATTTTTGCCCCACGCCGAAAACAGACACTAGAAAAGACCGAATCTGTGGGAAAAAATAAACGCCCAAAAAATACCCCCGAATTGGAAGGAAAAAATAAACCTCGAAAACACGGAGCCCTATTAATGGCCTGGAGCTTCAAAAATGAAGCTCGGTATCGTAAATCACAAAAGGTTCTATACAACAATTAGGCAGATTATTTTGCAATAAATTTACTCGGATAAGTAAAGAAAGACAAAACAACTGAAAGGTGACACCAATTTTTTTACAATTGAGGCCCATATCCAGTTTTAATGACTAGTGGAGGAGTGTAGTGCTATTGAAAGAAGCGAAATTCAAACAAAGAATCAGACTCTCTACGAGGGAAGCTGAAGAAAAAGCTGCTCAAGTATGTCTCGATATACTGGCCCACTCTACAAATAAGTTGTGTATTATGAAGTTGACCTCTAAGAATCACACAGTGAGTTATATCTGTCCATTCACTTCAAATTTCAATGTCAACTGATATGCTTCTTCTGCTGAGAACTAGACATGGATGAGGGTCAGACGAGCAAGCTTGGCTTTCTGGTTTTACAAAATTAGAATTCAGAGCAGCTAAAGTTAACAGCCACAACAAAAAGTACATGACGAACCCTAGCATGGCTCATCACATATTTTCATGCTAGAGGAGTGTTGAAGATGTAAAGAGTTGAATATTTTTTGTGCATGCACATTCAACAGAATGTGCATGTGTCTGCCCCTACTGCTTAGTCGTTTTGGCCTGCATTATTGTAGTGCATCGACCCCGAAGCTACGCTGGTGCGGACGCATGAGCACGTACGGGCAAGGGTTCTGCGTGCCAGGCAAGTGCATTCGAACACTGAGTCGCCTCCAACCAGAGCGGCCTTTTCTCATGCTGACCTTTCATAGCAAAAGCCTATAATACGACACCGCTTAAGCCTACGATGTGTTCATCTCACTTGGTACATAACAGTTATGTTTACCTATATAACAAAATAAACAGAAAGAGTAAACTTGAGGAAGAAAACGAGAAAGGACGGACAAACACGTTTTCTTCCTCAAGTTTACTATCCATACCAACCCGCTCGTTCTGTCCAAACAGAAAGAACAAGCACTTACTTTGAACACCTGCTGAGCATCTTGGAAACTGAGGTGGAGCAAGCTGCGGCCGTTGACTTCGACAATGGTGTCGCCAACCTGAAGTCGGCCATCCCTGTCAATGCGGCCGCCAGGTTCAATGCCTTGGATTACCAAACCCATGTCCCTGGGAGCGAGCCAAGAACGGTGACATGTAGGCCTTCTACAGCACCTAGCTACACTCCTAAGCACTTGAAGATTTTCTAGCGAGACACAGATATCAGTAATTCCCTTTTAAACAAGTAGAATTACAGGAAAAACCAAAAAATGGAAAAAGCTCAGCTGAAAAGATGTTGAACTCCAGCATAGAAAAGTTAACGCGATCCAGGAGTTGTGTGTCTGCTGCGAGTGTAAGCTTTCCATTCTTGATTTGGCAACAGCCTATGGTGTCACCGTAAAGCCTACTCATGGCCAAATAGAATTCATGAGCCATTCCACTCAGTGAAGCTGGATGACCGGTGAAGCTGTTTAGCACACGACACAGACGTGACACAGAATTTTGAACAAAGGTATGAACTATTGCTCCCACGAGGAGCCAGAGGAAACCAGACACGTGCGACGGGACCGCCACCTGGCGAAAAGTAGACACGCGCTGAAACTGCCACCCCGGGAGAGCGGAAGGAAAGGAAACTAGGCACACAAGCACTTGGAACAACGACAAAGAGACGGCGGTGCGAGCGTAGACATGGCCGACGCAGGTCGCACAGCGGCATTAAGAAAACTTTATTATCTACCTGAGAGTCTACTGATCTGAAAAATGGTGCCTATTGATAACTAATCTACTGAAAATGCATTTCCAAGTGATGAGACATGAAAAAACAGTTAGGGCGCAGGCGAGCTGGTGTAAGTTTACCATTTTTTAGACCACCTGAGACTGGGTGGAAGAAACACGACGACGTCTCAAACTTTTCGAGACGTCGTCCTGTTTCTTCCACCTAGTCTCAGGTGGTGTAAAATATGATGAGACATATAAGCTTTTGCATAGAATGAAGCAATTTTTCATTGAATTCAGCACTTGAGTTTTTGTTGATGCACACGAAAAATCCATGGAACCCTGGCCATAAACAGCCTCGCTGCTAAAGAGAGCTAGAACTTGCTCGAACTCGGCGGCCATATTAAAGGTTATGTGGGCATGTGTGTATGGTGAGAAGATATATCAACAAATCTTATACATGCATGCACGTCTCTGGAACCACCCGGTTTTTCAACCATACAAACAGTGTGTGCTGTATAAAAAAGGGGCTACATGTTTGGTCATTGTGCCAAATGCATTTACAGGCAGTAGCTTTATAGGGCGGGTGGGTGGGGCTTTTAGTTTGGGTGCTGCCTAGGGCAGAATGACTTAGTTTTTCAGTGCCTGGGGTGGGTGGACACAAAGCCTTTACATTGAATTTTCTGCATCACCAAGTGAGAGAAAAAGTGCTTTTTTGCCCTTTTCACTCCTCGTTCCACGTGCTCCTTTCTACACCCCCTTTCTGCTCCTCTTTTTCTTGCCCTTTCCACGTCTCTCAGCTCTGCATGCTTTCTCACACCACCTGCTTCTGCTTCTCCCGTTCTTGTGCGCTGGGTCTGGAGCTCAGTCAGCAGCGCACTCGGCTTTCATGCTGGTGACTGGGGTTTGGTCCTTGGAACTGGTTGCCGGTTTTTTTCAAGATTGTTTAGCATTGACAGTCTGATGAACCTACACATTTCTTGCTTACCTGAGGTTGGTTAGTTCTATAAAGCTACCACTTTAATAACTGAACCTTCAGATGGACTGCAGAGAGCAATTTCCGAAGGTGCTAGTGTGTGCTCCATCACAAGAGCTGGAACTAGATGGTGTCGTAAGGCACCTAATAGTACAATTTGGCAAGCATTATGAACGAGTTGGTCCTCTAGCCATTTCTTAAAACTTTCCAATCTTCTTATCAATCATAGCAGATCACTGCTCCGATTGTAACAATTTTTGTGCATGTTCTCTAAATGAAATACAACACCACACCCTATTTACCAATAAAATAAGAGCATTGCGTCAGAATTAAAGATTTACAATTGTACGAAATTCTGTAGTACGAACCTAGAAGATATGCATAAGGAGTGAAATGTGACTTACTATACTGTTATATCAAAGACATTGGCCTCAAATCAGGGACTCCTAAGTAAACATTACATGAATCTGTTAAAAGCTTACCTTCCCCCCGTTCCTTGTTCGGGGACAACATGAATCCCCAGAGGGCCTGCCTCATTCTTCAACACAACCACATTATCCCTAAAAAAAATAAAAAAAGTGTGTGAGGCACCACAAAAACATGAGCTGGAACGCCGTCATCATCGGTCAAAAGTGCCAACGACAGCACCCGCCCTCCTCACCTTTCATCGCTGCCTCCCGAAACCTCACTGTCCCTGTCTGGAGAGGAGCCGGCACTGCCCAGGGGGTCTTTTCTGCTGTCCTGGAACTGAACAACGCACCAAAACGTTCAAATTTCAAGCGGGACTACAGATGAGCAATGATCATAGACATAAACATTGACCACACCCGAGCGACAGTCATTAACATAAGCGACAACCGCACATGAGCAACGATCGCCAACGTAAGCGAAGACTAATACGAGGCAAGTCACCTTGTAGAGCTGTCGGTCGGCTGCTTCCGCCCAGCGGAGCATGGTAGGGTTGTTGCCGAGGATGGAGAGCCGTCCCGAGCCCCTGGATATCCGTGAGAGTGCAGACTTCTCCTCTCCACTGCCGTCACCACGCTCTCCCGGAGAAGACGGGTGCTCCCCATCTGAGTGGCTCCCATTCTGAGGTGGGCACGATCACGAGGAAGTGTAAGCACTCGGGCAACATTTCACGTGATCGCACCGTCTGTTGCAGAGCGTGCTAGTCAAATTCTACGGGACAGAATTGTAACCTGGTCAGTTCAGAATACCAGTTTGTGTGATGGTGGAGTAAATGATATACAATTTAGAGGTGAAGCAGCGAAATTGAATGAGGGACTAGACCCCTAGTGCTTAACTGCTGTTTTCTTGCACCTTTTCACTCCAGAAAAATCTGTGTAGAGCCACACTTATTATGGTTCCTGATCATACAAATTTTTTCTGCTTGCTGAAAAACATCTTGTTCTTGCAGGTGTGCAAGAAAAGACATTTTAATCAAAGCAACCAGCAATTGCAGGTTTCCAGTTACCTTCAAAGAAAAGCTATAGAGATCGTAATCGCAAAAGACTGCTGCCTCCATCTTCATGTTTCTAGAAAATTTTACAAAAACAAAATCAAGGGTTTTTTTTTTTTTTTTTTGTACAATTTTTTTAATGAATTTTAGAAAGTGTGATGAGATGCACACAAGAAAGCATATTACAGGAACTGAGAAAGTTTATAGAATCCTTTTTTGGAACTATCCTCGAAAACTGTGGGTTCCAAAAACAAAAGGGTCTTAAATTAGTTTGTTCACAAAAGTTGGCCATATATTTTTGTAAAAGAAAAAAAAAAAAAAAAAGAATTACTGGATAAGATGACACGTTTCCAGAAAAAGAGGCTGATGTTAAAGAGAGCAGTATTGACTTGGCACACTTTGATAAAACATGCCATAGCACTTTAATCCCCGATGACCAATGCTCAGCTTTTCAACTTTCAACAGTTGTCAGTGTAATATAAATAGCTTTAACCTTAAGGAATAGGCATAACCTGAGTTAGTGCCTTCTGCTTCTGAAAATCACAGCTGTCCTTATATATCTAAAGTTACATTTGTCATTGTGAACACCCAAGACCAAGGAACACAGTGGAGTCCTCACATGTTTATTGGTTGGCAAATGCTAAAAGTGTTTTCTTTCTTGCTACCCTATGCAATGACAGCTATGCAGAGCAAACAAGAGATGACGAGTGGTGCTGAAGCAATGGGGATTACCTCCTTGATCCCTCGGGAGAGGGAGACGTCATCGACAACAACTGCGGCCGACCACCGTTTGGTCGGGTCGGGTTCCGAAGAGACGGGCGACAGGCGGGGCGATAGGCGGTTCAGCGTTGGCTCGCTGCCCCTTCGCACCTGAAGGGGGGCCACGCCTGCACATACATGCCCAGTGCACAAATCAAACAGAGAAACAAAGCCTCAACATCCACATGTCTGCACAGCCTACCTGCACATACACACTCAATGCACATGTCAACAAAGTCTCAACGTCCATGCCAGCACATACATGCCCAAAGTGCATGTCATGTCTCAATATTCACACATGTATGGGCCATTCCTGCACACACAAGCTTAATGCACATGTCAAAAGAGCCTCAAAATATCTACGCTTGCACACACGAGCCCAATGTGCATGTCAATAGAATCTTTACATCAACAAAAATGCAGGACCATGTCAGCAGAGAGAGAAGCCCAATGCCTTTTATTTTTCTGCTTTTTTTTTATTTTTATTTTTGTTGCGTTTCATCGCCGCGCACCGTAGGCGATCAAGGGCATGTCAAGTTGCGTATGCAGCTTTTACCCTTGATTGTTATCATCAAGTCTAGTGGAAATAAAGAATTATTATTGTGAAAGCATTAACTGTTCTATGGAGCAAACTGGTGTTCTCAGCTCTTGAAGCCGTGTGCCAAAAGCACCTAAATTCCCCCGTCCCAATGGAGCGCAGCCTGTAGTCTGCAACAGACATGCTGCATAGTTTCAAAGTACCCCACTCCATGGCGCTGCGGCCCCGCACCGGTGGAAGGAACACGGTTAACACGGTGGCAAAAGCTCGCAAGAGGCCTCAAGAGCTGATGGGGGGAGAGGAGCGGGGGCTCCTCTTGGTGCCGATGAACATGGCGGCGCCCCAATACTCGCACCGCAAAGCTCGAAGGAGCACTCAATGCTATTCAATTCAACGTTCATGCTTTCGCATTCACAACTCGTAAGAAAAGCTTAGGGGTCCTCGAATTTTTATTATTATTATTATATGCACGGATATAGGCACTTATTACGTAGGCTTGCTGGCACTGTGCATGCCCCATCGCTGAGCTTGGACTGCTGGTAGACTAAACTGCTCGTAGAGATATAAAGTTCACTCCTCTACTGCTGCTGAATAGTGTGTAAGAAAACTTTTGTGAAGGCCACTTTGTTCCAAAGCCAAAATACAAATACTGGAACTTGTAGAAAAAAAGTCAGGTTTATACGGAAATGTTACAGCGAAAAAACAAGTGGCTAATCATTTGGGGTATCTGAAGGCAGGGGCGGATTTATGGATCGGGCTTGGGGAGGGAGGGAGTCGGTAGGCTACGGCTGGCAAAGGGTGAGGGTTTGCTGAGATATGTCACTACGGCCGAAATGTTACACAGATCTATTTTGTCGACCCAATCTTTGCTATGTCACCAAAACCTAAACTTTTAACTGATGTATATCAATTTGGGGGAGGGGGGACTTTCCCCCCCTCGCCAATTTGTCCCAGTCTGTAGGCTGGGAACCTAGAAGACAGTTAGAGTTAAAGATGTGAAATAAGCATACGAATGAATAACATTGATGCATAGGGAGCACACCACTACATAAATTGTAATGTAGTGGTAAGTTCACTACATTAAAGGTGGTCTCTTCCTCTGGAAATCTTCACACTCTCTCATAGCCTTAGTATGTGATGCAAAACCAGATCATTTCCTCTTTCTTACATTTTATAATCGCTGAAATAAAATTTTAAAAAAAATGTCGCCCTTCTTTGTTGTGTTCCGCGACCTTATCAAGACCCAGCGAGAAAGCTAGAAACGAAGTAGGAGGTACTAGCACAAAATGCCACTGAGGTGTGCGGACTAAGGGGGCAGGGGCCCGATAACCTGCTGATAACCCACGTGTGGGAAAGCTAAATTCCTCTTGCACAAGGTGCTGATAGCGTTGCGTGCAAGCGTCACAACTGAGGCCCTTTGGACCACCAGAGGGCAGCCGTTGGCCAAAGACCAACAGATCTGAATACTTTTGAGAGGAAAGCAGGGCTGCATGACGACATATGTCTATGACCTTGCAGATTGAATCAGTTTATGAGCAGTGAAGAATTTTTACATAAATAGTGACATTCCCAGTTCAGAAGTTACCGTAGAGTCACTTCTGTTTTAAAGCCTAAATAAAAATAACTGACTGTGCTTACGAAGCATTTAATCACTCGAGAAAAATTAAGAATCTCTAGAGATGAAAAATTGGTGTCATAATCATACGGATGCTCGCAACTCAATACTATTATTATTTATGTAATTCAGCTTAGAAAGACAGCACCGCAGAAAGCTGATTAGACGTACTGCAGAAGTTATGATTCCATGTTTTTTTTTCTAAAGGTGATAACATGATTAATACAGTATGTCTGAAAAGGAAGTTTTTAAGGGGCACTGACAGGGTATTTATGCTCGCCAAGGTTTTTATTTGTATGTGACACATGAGAGCCCAACTACCCAGAACACAATTTGCGGCTCAAAATTTGTTGTTTTTTTTTGTCTGAAAACCGCAAATCGAGAACTGGCCGGTTTGAGTCGCACTCGCTCTCTTCTCCGTGGTCACGTGCCATTTTCTATGGTTTAGATACAACTACCAAAGATAATCAAAGCCGTGAACCATCCAAGGTACACACTCAATGCTAGAAATAGACAAAAAATATGAAGCCCATTTTTTTGTGGCTTGCAAAAAGCTGTAAATATGTTGCAAGTACAGCCACATGCCTTTTGGTAACTTTCTCATTTCTTCTCCCTCCCCAGTCTGGTTTCAGTTTCAATTTCAAGCAGTAGCGTGTTTTTTTTTTTTTACTTTATTAAAAATTTATCTGATGCCATAGCAAAATATTAATTGGGTAGTTTTCTGACACCATAATGAATTGCCTGGCAAAAAATAAAAAATAAACATTTTTTTGGGGGGGTGCAAGTGTCCCTTTAAGGTGGAGCAAAAAAAATTGTCAATGGGATGCAGTAAGAAAATTTCACTGGACCGATTCTCATACTAAATTTCGAATACACACTCCATCATAACAAATATATATCTTAAGATGTCTTAATGAGCATAAATAACTTTAAAACAGTTATTGATATAGCTTTTGCCATTCCTCTAGAACTATTAAAGAATAACCTATATCCTATTTGTCCTCATAAGCTTTCGTTACAACACACAAAAGATAAGCATTTCCTCTCTGGCATAAAGTGAACTAATGTCAGAAATATTAACAGAATGATTATATCATCATAATAGATATTTTTGTACAAATACCAGCTTACTATGCTCAAGCACTGAATCCTGCCTTTCAATTTCGAGTTTGAGCTCAATTTTGAGAATGAGTTTAAGTATGAATTTGAGTATAAGTTCAAGTATGAGTACGAGTGAGTATGAGCTTGAGAATGAGTCAAGTATGAGTTTGAATACAAGTTTGAGTATCAGTCAAATATGAGTTGGAGTTCTATTTTAAGATCAAATTTGATTTCAGGTTTATTTTGAATATGAGTTAAAAATGTATGAGAATGAGTATGAGTTTGAGTATAAATTTGAATATGAGTTTGACTTCAAAATTTTTTCCAAGACCACTTTCGATTTTAGTGACAAGCTGAGCATTCAGGAGGTAGTGGGTACATAGAACAGGGGTATGCATGTGCTCTTGCTCACCCAGAGGCAGCTTGTCCCCCGTGATCTCGACGTCGACGTAGCTCGAGGTGCTCTTGCCCATCCCATTGTGGTGCAGCTCGTTGCAATGGAACATGTCGGGGCTCTCTGTGCCCACCGAGCTGGCACTCGTGCCATCGCCCGCATTGTGGGTCGGGCAGGGAGACGACTGCTCCTCAAACACAGCAATAATCTGCGAGGCAGAGACACCTAATAATTGGGAGGGTTTGGCCAGCACATCCGCTCTGCTTCTGCCTAGCTTTTTCCGTACCACGCCCATTGGTCATCGATCATCCGTGATCAATGGTTTTCATGCACTGCCAAAATTTGAATTTTAAGTGCAAGAACATGGTGCACCATCTCGTGGATAGAAATAAATAAAGCCTCAGTTTTGATTTCATTTTGTGCTTTCTTCCAAGCTGGTGAACTATTAGAAATAAATCTCTGCACAACGGTGGCACTTGTCAAACATGGCATCCTACTTACATTGGGGACAGCTATGAAGATGCCTCAATCGCACAACTTGCTGTTGTTTTTTTGGATGACAAAAAGCGGCGGCTAAGTAATTCTTAAAATAAAATAAAAATGTGTTCATTCCTCAAAATTAATGCTTTTCATCGTAATATGAAAAGAGTTGAACGCAGTTTGCCAGACACTGAGGTAGAGTGGCCCCACCCTCGGATATTAAAGGACCACTTGCCTTTCTCTTCCCTGATCGCAGGAAAAGTAGCAATTTTCAAAGGATCCGTGCAAACACTTATTTTCTTAACAAATTTGCATATAGAGCGATATGACACATCAAAATTTGTCCAATTAGTTGTCCCTTCAAAAGAAATTGAGGTTGGTATAATGTGGAAAAACGGTACTAAAAGTTTATTTTTTGAAGATACAATGTATGTGCAGAGGTGTATAAACGCTCAAACTTCTACAGCTGTCAAATTAAACAACAAATAAAATAGAAATTCAAAATATACAAAATGTGCCCCACACCCACGGCTATAACTTCTGAAAGTTGGTGTACTCTAACTGACATGGCCTATATTTGGTTCGTTGGAGAGTTAGCCTCTGGAAACATGTGCTTTTTTAAGGAAGGAATGCTTATATTGGTGAAACATAGATAGTAAATACACTTCACATCCCCAGCAGAATGCCTTCTTTGTGTTCTACCTTGGTTTTGCCATAGCCTTGATTGAAGTTCCTTTATATTTATCAATTTCGTCGGCCTTGTTGGGAACTTAAAACGTGCACGCTGGCTCAGGACAGCAATGGATATTACAGTGATGCTTACCGACAACCACCTGTTAAGCAACGCCTATAACATTATTGAAAGTGTCCCCAGAGCTCTTGAGGTCTAAAAAATATGCCCCAATACAGTTGCAATATGTCAATAATGCCTTCTTTGTTAAGAAGACTGATGGAAGCAGTTACGCATGTTAGACAAGCGCAACCACTGTTCCCAGAACTATTTGTGACAGCCCATGAGCTTGTGGTAAAGCTCAAGCCTATGTTAAAACCGAAACTTGAGTTCTTTGGTTATTCACAAGATTGTGGACCATAATTCCCCGCACTAAATTTAATTTTTTGACGGCACTTGAAAACCATCGATCACCGGTGATCGAAGGTCTATGGGCGCCATCAGGAAAGAGTTATTGAGTCACTGTTCTTTCAGAGTAACATGGTCATTAAAGGCCTGGCCTATTTGCCTTTTGCAACAACCAGTGCAAAGGAGTAAACTTGTTCTCACCTTGCCAGGAAATGCTTTAGAGATTAGAGAGTTCCTTGTGATGATTGGTCATTATTGATAATAACAAAAATTGCAACAAGATGCTAGCTCTAGCAATCCTTCAATTCCTTCCATATTTTAAAATTCAGAGCAACGGTTCCGAGATAGTTACTGAAACATTATCCCTGATACCACAAAAGTAATATTCACTTTTTTTCTTTTTTTTCATTCACTCCTTGAGGTAACACATACTACAGGTTCAAGATGAATAATGAATAAAGATAAATACAATATTTCATAAAGTTAACAAAAAACATGTGTGTTTCATTCTTGTGACTTTCTGTTTAATGAAAAACATAATTTGTGAATCTTTGCTGCTGAAGAAAGAAACATGTGTGATAAAACTTGATTTAACAGCTTCCGAAGTCTCTTGTATCTGCAGACTGCTACTGCTAGTGGTCGATCATCAACAATCAGCACAGAATGCCGACTTGAAGTCACTGAAGGTTAGTCCTACGAAGCTCGTTGCAGCTTATTCTTTTTAATATTTTCTCTAAATTATCTTTCTGCAACTCATAAAATTTTGTTCATAAAACATTCCTCTAGTTCTGTGTAAACAATACCCAATAAATTATTAAGGGTTGTTTTGACAGAACTAGAGGAATGTTAAAAATTTATGTGTTGCAGAGAGATAATTATTGGCAATAATGGATACTTAACATTATACTTTGTGAAAGAGTGAGCGAGAATTGAAGGAACAACTTGCCTGTTCCCTGTCGTCCACCACATCATTGAGTTGGTCGTCAGGGTCCAAGATTCCTCCGTCGCTGTAGCTTTTCACATTATGTACAGTCACCCACGTGTCTTGAGCCTGGGAAAGAGCAAAGATTTCTTTATAGACTTGTCCCACAGATACAGGATCAAATTTTGGCAATACACCAGCTGCACCTAAGTACTACAAAAAACCTCAGTACACCTGAGAAGAAACTAAATCTTGTCCGAAAACGAAAATAAGGTGATTGCGTCATCCGCATGATCATGTTGCATGCCTCCGACGTCATGCTGAAGAGACGATGCTGCCAGCTACGCTAGGTGGCGCAAAGCGACCTCCCAGTGTTGGGTAAAGTGCACCTAATAAGTACTTAAAGTATGAAGCAAACTAGAGGTGATGTACTCCACGTAGAGTAGTAAGTGTACCAGATGCAATGTGCTTGAAGTGAAGTACTACAAATATAATGTACTTTTAAAGTACTTTTTAACACAATCTTTCACGGTGCCATTTCATTCCCTTATGCAGTGGACTTTAACTGATATGCATTGCCCTAGGGGTAATCGGGGGTGCATCACTTCCCTAGTAGCCCACTTCGTCCTGTGGACGTCTTTAGGATGTGCTAACGTCCCAGGGATGTCCTGTGGACGTTCACAGGACATTCGCGCTACTTGGGTTATTTTTGGATATGGCGTCAAATACTGGATAATGTGAAGTGGCAATTAAAAGAATAGCTGTTTCCTAAAAGGGCACCAGACTTTTGAATTTGGTGCCACTTGCACTGGCTTGATGCACCCAATGGGATTAAACATGATACTAGGAGAGAGCATGAAGTCAGCCCCGTAGCTTCCCCAAGCAATCCTCTCATGAAGGAGTGTCCTCTCCTTAACAAAAAAAGAGTGAGTGTGCAGGAGAACAGGTAATAATTATAATGTGACGTCTGAGACAGCGGTGCGGAAACATTAAGGAACTTTCAAGTCGAAGGAAAAGACAACAGAGGAGTATGTCTCAAAACAATGAGACATTCTCCTCCGTTGTCTTTTTCTTCGACTTGAAAGCTTCATTTTTCCGCACCACATAGTAGGGTGTTACATTATGATTAATTGTCCTCTTCCTAATATTTTTAACCTCCTCGCTTGTGCTGACTGGGCGAAAAGTAGCAAAAGTTCGAAGAGCTATGGTAAAGCCGCCCCCCAACCAAACGGAGCGATGTGTCGTTTGCTCACATTTCTGGCGAAAGTAGAATATCCCTCCCAGTATTTCTTCAGAATTGACAGAGAAACATTTTCTGATACAAATTTTACAAGACCAAATTTGGAAAATGTACTTTAGAAGTTGGGGATTGCACTTTTCTTGGAAAGTACTAGAACAAAAGAAGAAAAAAAAAATCTTCAGGTACAAGTACAGTGCAACCCAACTATAACGATAATGAGAAAACCCAAAATTTCAATCGTTATAACCAATTATCTCTGTATCTGGACTAAAAACTGATTATTTCCGGTCTAGAAACTGATCGTTTTAAGTGGTACATCGTTATTACTGGGTTGCACTGTACATACTCAGAGACTGTACTTCAAGTGAAGTGAAAGTTTTCTAAACCTACTTCAAGTAGTACTTTAAGTACAATGGACAAAGAACTTCACAGCACTGCCGCCTCCCAATTTAAAGGGTTCGGCTTTATGCATACATACATCCGTTCATATTAAGCCACGTGCGCATTGTGTGGACTACTTCGTCTCTCGGAAAGAAAACTGGCTTCTGCGCAGGCGCATTGGCCACAGATGCATGTTGCTTTTACACAGACAAAAATATCACCACAGGTCCGTAATGTTCGGTGCTCCTGACCCTTCAATGCTTCAGGACCGATCCCAAAGGGGCGACAATGCAAAGTGGGTGAAAGACGCAAACAGCATTTTTGCTATGTCAGTGTTTGTTCGCTTAGTGCTCATTTATTCACTCTTCGAAACAAAGCCGTTTTTACTGAGCTTGTTTTCAAGCGAGCCTTTACCCTCCCTTGTATGATTCCAACAAAAGTGTAAAGAACCCGAGAAGACTTGTGATTGGGTGGATTTGCACTGGGTGCAAATCCACCCAATCCACTATCTACTCGAAGAGCCAAGACACTCAATTCAAACAGTGAGGAAAAAACAGAGGCAGCAACAAACAGAGGAGTTTGGGTTAACACCGAAAGATCACAAGCCTCGTGCGGCTAGAACAATATTGCTGGGTGGTCCGGAATTAGACTAAGCCCGCCACTGTGGCCGCCGCTGGGCCGGTCCAGGATGACAATGCTCCACTTCCACCGGGACAGTGTATTTGCAGCGTCGTGCATCACCTCAAATAGTTCCATTCACACGCAAGATGCACACAAAGACTAGGAAGAGAGTGCTTTCTCAAAGGGCGGGCAATCAGGGCACCGACCTTGCGGAGCCACTAGTTATGCCATTGTCACCCAGAGCCTTCCTCACATCACTTACTCTTTTTGCTTTTTTTTTTTTTCCCGGACAATGCAATTCTGTCTTTGAGGCACTGACATTGCATTGGCACAAGCTAGACCAATGCATTACTTTGACATAGCATACAATAGACCAGTTGCTGCTCCGTTCCATGGGCGCCGCCATGTTTGTTTATGCTGACGCCATGACGCAGTAGGCGGGGTTAAGCTTTTTGCACGACTCAGTCTTTTTAGAAGCCTTCGCACATCTCGTAGTGCAATAACATCAGAAATGCATAGTCATAAAGCTCCAAGAACAACACCGATGACTAGAGTGCAGTAAAAAGCAAAAAGCTTGTTTTATGCACAGTCCCTCTCTTCATAAGAGCCTGCATTTAAAAATATTATTTCCCATGTTTATCGCTGGGGGCTAGGATTGCTCTAAGAAAACAAAGATTTCAGAAAAATATAAATCTGTATACAGTGTTGCCAATTTAGAGGTTTTGCCGCTAAATTTAGCAGTCTGCCGAATCGCCTAGCAGGAGAAATTGATGTTTTGTGGGCAGCGGAAGTTATAAAGGTTTTCAAGTCATGTTAGCGTTTTATTTCTGGCAGTTTACATTTGTCAATCTTAGATGGCTTAAATTATCTGGTAAGTAAGAGTCCCAGGGTCATCATATTCCCTTACTCCAAACAAAATTGTTGTCAGTGAAAGTCACGCTTGCAACACCACTGGGATATTACACTGGCAAACCTTGAAACATGCTTCTACCTTATTTGTGTATGAATGTAGGGACTCGTTTTTCAAGCCTGCCAGACGAAGCCAGCTTAGTGGACTGCGCAAAAATTATTCAGGAAACACTGGAAGTTCCAAGTAGGGATGATGCAAACCAGCCCAGGTTCGACGTCGACCAAGTTCCCACTTTCCTGGACTTCCAACGTGATGTTCGACTTTCCTGGACTTCCAACGTAATGTTCGAAAAAAGTTTGAAGTAAAGGTGTTTTCGCAAAAGCGCAAAAATTTGAAAAAGAGTTGTCACCACCTGGCAAAGGAGAAGTGCAATATTTGTTGGGTGTATTGCATCACCGGTGCAATTTACTTTACTAATGAAAGCATTAAAAGTACCTGTATTTGCTTTTAGAATGTGTAAACATTGGTAATGGATTTATAAAATATAAAATAAACTTCTTTCTAATTTTTTTTTTTTTTATGAGACTTAGAACATGGTTTAGAAGCCGGGCAACACCGCTTATGACTCACGAATCAAACTTTGTCGAAGTTTGCAAAAAATTTGAAGATTCGCTGAACCAGTTGAATCTCGGGCTCACCAGAAGTTTGACACTTCCAGTTCCATTAGATGAGTCAGATACCTCTATAGAAAAATATTACTTTTTGTAAAGCATGTGAGGATTGCAAGTTCATTGAAGCGTTGAACTTCCACCAAATATTGCACTAAAAATCGGAACGATGCAGCACGTAAGTCGGCAGGTAGGGCAAGACAACACACCAGGTAACATAAATAAGGTCATGCCGTGGACATCGTTCTGTGCATGGAAGTGGTCTCAATGAAACAACATATTTCCGATTTTTGGGTTGGCAAGCTTGGCAGTACAAGCGAGAAATATTTGGCTAGATGACGACGTTTTGAGTTAAATCAAAAATCAATATTAATTTGTCTAATTTGTGTTAGAATCTCTGTGCTCTCTTCTTGGGTTCTTTGTTCATGCTTTTTTTTCCTATTTCTTATATAATTATTATCTTTGTTCCTATGCGGGTTATTACAGTATGTACTCTTCCTACTTGTATAAACATGTTCTGTGCTTATTATTATCATTATTCAGGCCAGCCCATCAAGCCTTTTAGACAGTAATATCGGAACTTCCTTGAAGTAAGAACAACTATTATTATTTTTACTATTATTATTATTATTATTATTATTATTATTATCATCATCATCCAATCACAGCAGCCAGCTATGGCTCTGGCTGAGCGGATATAATGTACTTGGTTCCCAATTAATAAACAAATAACTATAATTAGTGGTCGTGATATTGGAGATCATCTGTCTCGTTGCACCGCAACGGTTCTGCGTACAGCCGGAGACGGGCATAAAAACACCAGCGGTGGTTCCTCGAGTGCACTGATCTAAATCGAAAGACAGGTTGTCAATTGATTTCGAAAAGCTCATCCGATCACCCCTGGGGAGACACCACGCTGCGGTCACATTTAACTTGGCCGGCAAGCCGACCCAAACGCCCAAGTACGCGAAAGAAGCGACGGAGCGTGCAGCACCGTAGCACGCGTAGCATGACACGTACCGCCTCCAAGAGGTCAAGGGCCGCGCCTCGACTGCTTGGACACTGCATCGAAGATATCCCCCGACCGAGATCGAAGCGGTTCACAAAGCACGCGGTTAGCCCCTTCCCCCGACAACGTTCGCGCGCGGTCCAATAAACACGCGTCCCAAAGGCAGTGGTGCACGGACTGATGTCGCGGTAAGACTAAATTTAGGAGAGGGAGCAACTCGGATCATGGAGAGCGTTCGCAATGTTATGGAGGCGCTTGCAGTCGAGCAGTTCGAAACACTCTGCAGTCTAGGCACGCTAGGTAAGGCACTCGGAGACGCCCGCTTCTCGAGGCGGCAGCAACGTTGACGATGCCGACGCG